ACGAAATGTGATGCCTCAGCCTGGCTTCGCATCCTCTGATGATCCCTCAGCTACCTTGTTACCATCGCTCATGCCGGGGTGCATACGACTCCCCAAATGATGGTCAGCCAGTCAACCTGGTGCTGGCAGCATCACAAGGGGAGAACTATGGAGAACTCAAATTATCTCAAATTCATACAATATCAATACAATATCAATACAATATCAATACAGTATCATTTCACATGGTCCGTTCCAAAACAAGTAGTTGATGCTCCACCGAGCAAGTTAACAAGCAGCTCTGGGTACTAGCATATCTAGTGTAGGGTCTGTTTTGAGCCTTCCTCCGAATAGAGAAATATTGGGAAAGCCAATGTATGAGCGATCTGGAAACGAATTCGGTTAAACTATCATAAATTATCATGCTGCAAATCACTGGGGCGAGGACCACATTCCACAATTGCAAATAGTTCATGATACCATCCAATCCAGTCCTTGCATCACACGGATCGACATGGAAACAGGATCAAACAGGCTTGTGACATCTTGTGACTGGAACATCTGGAGCTTACTCCAAGTCAATCCTGCATAAGGACCGGAGACCCGGTGAGACCCGGTGAGTGTGAGGCTTTTCTTTCTATCTAACTTTCCCTTAGCTTATGTTTGATTATGTTAACCCTTCCTACTCAACCCAGCTAGCCTGCTCCAAGTCAGTGTTCAGTCCAGTATGCAGGTATGCTTGTTGCCTGTGCGATTGCCGCTACAAACATTGAATATCGCCAAGTATCACGACAAATTCACCCCATATTCAGAAGCGGTTGCAGCAAATGTTGCGACAAAGCTTCCCCATTGCTGGAAGCAACTCCTTCATCTCAAAATACAAAATCCGCGTGATGATTACGATGAAAAGCCTAAAACGAGATTGCAAAGGAACGAGCGCACGTGATAAACACACCAATTGCCAGGGCACTTGATGGAATGGATGATCATGATGATGCATAAATTTAATTTTAACTGTGCCTTGCACATTCAACAAAGAAATAAACCAACAAAAAACAACCAAAACAACAGTAATTACCCCACGACAACATGTTCTTACACTTTCGTACGACTTTGAAAGCATGCGGTGTGCCATGCCACCAAGATACGCATCCGGAATCGCGTTGCTCCACTCTTTGTATGGGTCGATCAAAAAAGTCTCTGTCGTTTGCACATTGTGAAGGTAGCCTTGTAGCACCGAATCTCGCACGTGCACGTGCTGGACATCTTGTGACATCTTGTCACATCTCTCCCTCGAGCAAATTGAGATTTGCCGACTGCGGAATCTGGTAGAAGTAATTCCTATTTTAATATTGCTGTGCTATCACGTGCACAGGCCCACCCTCTTTCTTTTCAAGGCGGGCAATTTGTTGCTGTGTCTACTTTGGGGAGTTCAATCGTTTTTCAACAGATTGAGTGCTGCTCTTTGCCCAGATACCATTGCTCTCGAAGAACCAAGTGAGCTGCTCGAAAGTCCACCTAAGCATTGCATGATCCTTTTCTGTGACAAATTGACATGACACAACTCTGTCACCATCCAGTCCTCCAGTATTTGCTGCCAGACCAAACCGACATCCACACAAACATCACAAACCACTTCTCAATATTTCTCGATCAAGAAAGTCGATTGATGTCGATTGGCAAAGATTGCAACATGGGGAGGGAGATACAAAAAGGATCAGGATATTGAGAAGATGACAGGAGATGACAGGAGCCTCTTGAGGACTGAAATGGACTGAATGATGTGGATATGACGAGAAGCGTAAGGACATGTAAGATCATGTAAGGACCAAAGAATTGGCCTAGGGTTTTTGATGGTTTTTGGCTTGTGGCTGACCCAACATCTGACCAGTGCGTCCGCAACTTTTCACTGAGCATCACACGTGCCAAGCGCTGGATTCATATAGACAGTATCAATAGACAGTGAAGTGGTGTTGTCATCTAACCTAGGGGATGCAATAGCCATGTGGCTAGACCAAACTCCGAAACCAAATTATTAATGAAAGGTCAGGACGGTCAGGTCATGTCCACAAAATCTGTGGTAGGGAACATGCGGCCATTCTTGGCGTTCAAACACATTACATCACATTACTAGGCAATACTCGCAGCCATACGCCCTACACTGGGACAGACCCCCCGCTGCTCATACCAATTACACAACTTGTGGCTAGTGCTGTCTGCACAGAACTGTGGAATATCTTGGAGCAAAGCAACCAGTATTCATCAGTCCACTGCGCGATTCGCTTCTGTAGCACCGAATATCCTAGCACAAGTCTGAACTGCGATCACTGCGTGTCATTTAGAACCCTAGAAGCCTCCACTAGTCGGGCCGCTCTTGCTGTACCCGTACCAGTCCGAGCGGTTTGACAATTTCATATGTTTTCATGATATGTCATGTTTGCATTTTTATTAGTTCAGAATGCCCTTGCGAAGGCACTTCAGTGGGCCGCTAAGTATCTACCCCATGAGCCTCTACGTGACCTCAGCCTGGTTTGTAACCGCTGCGGACACAAAGCAACTTTCAGATCTGCAAGGTAGAGTTTCTCCATGTTTCTCCATGTTTCTCCATGTTTCTCCGCACTGTCCCAGGGTATGAAAGGGTATAGATTGAGTGAAAAATAAAAAGGATACACCCAGTGATTTCAGCAAGGATTGGTAGAAAGCTGTTGAGAACGGCAAGCAATCCGAAGCAACCTCGGAAAAAAATGCTCCAAGTGGCTTTCGTGGTAGAGCAGGAAACGATCGTCTACTAGCTGCTCACCCATCTTGTAGCAGAGTAACTAAGCACAAGTGTGAAAGGATTCTGCTACCATTCAGCACTTCATATAAATATTGATATACTGCATAGTATAAACCACATGCATAAATACACGCGGACACACACACACACAGCATTCCAGCGATTCGTATCAAGGATTGACATGATTCCACGACACCCTTGGCTTTCCTGACAAGACTTTCAGCTGAGTAATCAAGCGTTTGTGAGCTGATGCAAGCTGTCCCTTCCTGGCATGAAACTTACCGGGCTTTTGGCGGATGTGTGGTGCTCGCTCAAGCCCATGCACTGTGCTAAGGCCAACGCGCCAATCAGTGGAAAGGGATAGTAAACCCTGGGCCCAGAAGTCATGCAGAAAGGACTCCCCGCAAAGCAATATAAATCTCAAAACAAACAGCTGCCCAGTTGTCAGTTGCAGTTGGTCTCTGGACATTACAAAGCCGACGTGGAGCATGCCGGTAAAAACACCAAAAGTCCATCACTTGCAGAAGGAAAAACATACCCCCCCTGTTTCTGTGGAAACTGAGACCCTGATCCATGTTCTGAATCCTGATGAGGGAAGGCTCCAACTCGGAAAGGGGCTTCAAACATTTTCCAAAACATGTTTTTAAACATGTTCAAACATCAGGAAAAAAAACATCAAACATCATTCCAAAATTTAATCACAACGGACTTATCTTTCTTCTGTCAAAGCACCGCTGCAAATAAGGTGGAATTGAACACCTCATCGGTTCGGTGTGGACTCGCCTCCCACACGAACGCTGCCCGCAACTGACAAAAGCTTCTACGGTATAAACTTCAGCACGCATCAGAGAGAGAGTCCACAGCATAGTTAAGAACAAAGCTGCATTTACATTGTCGTTGCTGTTTTTCTTATCTTGTGATACGAGTATCTTGTTTTCATTGCTTCGGCAAACCTGGATGTGTCCGTGGCTCACGGTATATAAATATCAGCATACATTTACATTTCTTTTTTTGGTGAAAAACAATAAGGCGGCAAAGCCCCGCCTGAAACGTGATGCCCCAAGCATTTGATTGCGCACAAAATAGCGACCAACGGTGTGCAGGTCCAGGTCCTTAATGTAAACACTTCAGAAATCTTCAGAACATCAACAATTTTCATTCGAGAAGCCTGGGATGGGATGGGACTTTTCAACATGTCGACCAAGACTCTACTTTGAGGACTTGCAAAGTCTTTGCGATCAATGGCTTTCATGACTCGAAACTCCATGCACGTACACATACGTACACCAAATCAATATGCGTTACCTACGAGATCCTACGAGCTGCTGTTTCAACATGTTTCAACCATTTATATCCATTTATCAGGTCCTGTCCTCTTGTATAAGACGTACCGACAATCTGGCTTTGAGATAGGAACCACATGGAACCACACAACACAATTAGTCCAAGTACCTGGTGGGCATGCTGTTCGAGAAAAGTCATTGCGATAAAGTCCCAAAGTGAAGTGTAGTCGTACATGAAGGACTTCTTGTAGGAGCCTCACTTCGGGACAAAGATGGACAGTATATCGCAATGCATCGCAATGTATTCACTCTGCACAATCTGCACAATCTACACAATCTGCACACTCTGCACACTCTGCACACTCTGCACACTCTGCACTTGCCAAAGTGCTACAGTATCCCTGCGACAATGAGTCGATGGGACATCATGAGACATCACTATGCAACGACGTCGATATGAAAGTTTTCGAAATTCGACATGTTTTTGTTTTTAGCATGTCGATTCTAGTGCTTGAGACATCTTCAGACCCTGGCCAGATTCAGCTGCCTTGGCTCTGAGACTCGAGGTGAATCATGTGGAATGATGTGCATGGCGAATATTCAAAGTCACAAGAGCTACCCAGCTGCACGGAAGACAAGATTAGACAAGCTGCAAAGCAACAGAAACAAGAAACAAAACGAAATAAATTGGTCCTTGATGTCAACTTGACGTCCTTAGGACGTGTTTGAACCTGCCGAAAGCCAGCTGCAGCGGAGCAGCATCATAATTCTGTGACATCCTCCAATTCGATCCTTTCATGCACTGGCCATGATTGTGGAATGCTTTGAATTACAATCAATTGAATGTCGCTAGCACAACTGCTGTACATCAAGCAACAAAGCAGTAAACATCTTGATTGACAGAAATTGATAGAATCTAGAAAACTACGCTTTGAAACCCTCTGTATATCTTTGTATTCTTTGTCGACGAAAGCAAAGTGCCGGAGTGGCTGCCCTGGAGGTCTCGTATTGCGCCAAGCTTCTCACGGGAATTTTCGATGTGGCACAATACTGAAATATGGCAAAGAGAAAAAGCGTTTGTGGCAAGGACCACAGGTCCTCGGAAAGGGCTTCGGCTTCTGGGTCCACTGTCTATGCGCCAGCAGCATACTTGGTGAATGAAATCACGATATGATCACTTGAATCAGCTTGATGAACTTTGAGCACAGCCCAAAATAGACCCTAGCCTTTTCAGAGTCTTGCATTCTCATGCCTGGTCTGCGGCGACAGCCACTGTTTCTGCTGAAAGTGACTCTGAACATTTCTGAAAAGCTTCGAATTATTGACCAAACGCAAGTGAAATCACATCAAAGCATTGACCAGTGAGTCGACCAAACTACTTTCTTCATCTTTTCCATCTTTTCTCCAGAAATTCCCACCTGACTTTACTTGTCAAATCGGACTGGGCAATGTGCTGCAAAGAGTGTGCCCAGGAGAAATGCACAGCTTGGATCTGTAAGATCCGAAAATATGAGATACCGATAGATAAAGAGTGTACAAATGAATGAGATCCTAGCATCATCTAGCATCATTAGCATCCTACATATCCTACCATGTATCCTACCATGTATCCTACCACATTCTTCTCTAGCACAGATAGCCCTGTACAGTAATATTTTGGAAATCCTGCAGCCAAGGCTCCGCATCAATCTCATACTCATACCTCAAATTCAAATTGCCATCCGCACCATCGGATGCAATGGATCCATTGACGTCAAGCGATAATTCGATACATTGCGAGGCATGCTAAGTGCTAGGCCAATGTGCTTGACGCGAAAAACTCCGTATCAAACACAGGGCCAATTATTTGATATACTTCCTACTTCTAACGGACAGCATGACTTCCTTGAATGAGCAACCCTAAAGCATAGTAAAGGTTTGCATCCAAAGACAAACTAATCTCTGTGCGACTACTCCTGTGCTAAGACGGAAATTCTGAGGACTTGTCATTGCGCAAAATGTCACCCCTTAACAGGAATAATTCGGAATATCATGGAATATCCATTCAAGGATCCGCATCCACTCAATGAGGTCGTCGATAAGACATTCCTCAGCAAAAGGTCTGTGATGAACAGACTGTACTGAAGATATCTGAAGATTTGTAGCCATGAGCTTCATAGGTCATCGTCATAGGTCTATGTGTGCACCATGATCACCATGTCTCATCAGGACATCAGGACTACTTATGTATAACTTCGTGCCGTTTGGAGAGACAAGGTCGAAGAAAAATGCAACAGGGCTCAGAGTGGCATCGATTGCACTCGCATTGTCACCACAAAGACAATTGGATCAATTGGATCAATTGGAAGGATATCGGGGCACGGAACGTCACTTACAGATACTTACAGTCCAAACGGCTCCAGGAGGTAGCTGTTGAGCAAATGTCTCTTCATTGATGGATTTTTTGACAAGGTTGTAGGCCACCTGAATCAACTCAAACGGAGGGAACACAACAATGTATGATCATCTTGAGTCATATGTACACTATACATAATATATATATAATATATATATATAGTTATATACGTATAGTTATCATGTATGGTATGGTCTGTTTGTGGCTGCATTTTGCCTGTAGTCATGTCCCATCGCATGATCTGCTCAGACATTTCTTGGGTGCGACTCTGTGACATAAGGGTAACTGCACTCTGTTGGCATGGTCCATCAGGGTTCGCATGGCGCTGAATGTTGGCACATGTGGCACTTCACACTCACAGCTGCTGTCTACTTCTGTCTATCTCCACATCGATTATCATCGGTTTTCCGTTCCTGTCGATCCCTCTTCGTCTTTTCTCTGAGAACCCAGGCCCTAGAAAAGTGACAGCTGAACGATGACATGACTTGACACTACCGGTGCCGTCTTCAGCCTCTCCCTGGATGATGGCTTTGTAGAGCTCTTTGGCACTGATCAGCCCCGAGCCATCCTTGTCAGCGTCCCTGCCTGAGCCACATTCTGCACAATGACTTCGCTGAAACTGGCAACACTCGCTGCTTTTTGACATGTGCGGCATTTAAACATTTAAAACAGCTTTCAAGTCTGTCAAGTCCTCTGTATGCAAAACTTCAGGATGCGGATCTTGATGTGCAGCAAAGAGTCCAAGGGCTTTCACATCTTCGCTGGTCAAAACCAGACCGTCAACCTGTCTAGTCCAGCTGTTGCTGTTGCGTATTGAAAACAGTACTTATTTCGACCTATTTTGATCTATTTTGGCTTTAACCAAGCAAGGTCATCATGCAGGGATTTACACACATACAAGAAAATACAACAGTAAATCAGATAGTGTATTGCCAATAGAAGCACAGAAGACCCTCTCATGATCTGAAAAAACCTAAGATGACACAACCTTTACGATCATGATATTCATGATGAATTATCCAAAGTAAGACCCACACTTAATGTGAAGGCCCGTCGATTCGTTGGACTTCGTTGGACTAAATTGAGAAAACAAATGAAAACAAACGAGCCTTGTTGATTTCCATCAACTCCTCGATAGAAATTTCGCCAGATCCTGGACAAGAATAGCGAAAAAATGTTCGTAGCCAAATTCAAACCACTGCCAACACTGTTCCATTGTCAGTTACTTCTTCACCCTTTTGCATTTGTCAAATGCAAGGGATATGTTGATTTGTTTCTGAGTCAACCAAAGCTAAAAGCTGCCCTGCCAGACAAAACAAGGATGGTCTATGGTCTACTGTTGACCTTGTCCAAGACAGTTCAAGTCAGCATCCTTGTACAAAACAAAATGAGACATCACACTTCGGACACGTCAACTCGATTTTAGGCAACTGGTGCAATTGCCGTGCCTAGGAAATACTAGCCCACATTTTCATCGGCCCCAAACCTCCCTTGCACCTTCGACATCAAAAATCGCAAAGAGTTCATCAACATCTTGGCTCGTGACCTGGATTTCGGGACGGTGCGGAATGCTCTACACTCCTAGAACTATCAGAAATGCTGTGTGGTGTACCCCATGAGAATATGCTGCTAAACGCACGCAGGCAGAAAAGTTATATCCAAGTTGTGGAATCACTTTGCGTGATTGCAGCATGACTGTGATACCTGCACTCAGGGTCTGTGTTCTTCTCTAGCAATCCCGCCTGGTAAAGCTGCCCCGCATTCAGCTTTTTCCAAAGTTCCAAATGCTGCAGTTTTTCTCTTCGTGCCTGAGGGCGATGTACGTTTTTGACATCAGTTTCAACGTGCCCCTCAAAACATTGTCTTTGGAAATTCAACATTCTTACGCTTCCACTAATCGCTTTCTATCACACACACATGCTAAAGGGCCAGGAGTAGATATGCACATGTATACATGTATACATGTATGCATGTCTGCATGTCTGCATGTCTGCATGTCTGCATGTCTGCATGTCTGCATGTCTGCATGTCTGCATGTATGCATGTATGCATGTCTGCATGTCTGCCTGTCTGCCTGTCTGCCTGTCTGCCTGTCTGCCTGTCTGCCTGTCTGCCTGTCTGCCTGTCTGCCTGTCTGCCTGTCTCCCTTTCTGCCTGTCTGCCTGTCTGCCTGTCTGCCTGTCTGCCTGTCTGCCTGGCTGTCTGTCTGTCTGCCTGTCTGCCTGTCTGCCTGTCTGCCTGTCTGCCTGTCTGCCTGTCTGCCTGTCTGCCTGTCTGCCTGTCTGCCTGTCTGCCTGTCTGTCTGTCTGTCTGTGTGTCTGTGTGTCTGTGTGTCTGTGTGTATGTGTGTATGTGTGTATGTGTGTATGTGTGTAGGTGTGTAGGTGTGTAGGTGTGTAGGTGTGTATGTGTGTATGTGTATGTGTATGTGTATGTGTATGTAATGTAATGTAATGTAATGTAGTGTAGTGTAATGTAATGTAATGTATGTATGCAATGTATGCAAGGTATGCAAGGTATGCAAGGTATGGAATGTATGGACTGTATGTAATGTATGTAGTGTATGTAGTGTATGTAGTGTACGTAATGTATGTGATGTATGTAATGTATGTAATGTATGTAATGTATGTAATGTATGTAATGTATGTGATGTATGTGATGTATGTGATGTATGTAATGTATGTAATGAATGTAATGAAATGAAATGTAATGTATGCAATGTATGTAATGTATGTACTGTATGTAATGTATGTAATGTATGTAATGTATGTACTGTATGTACTGTATGTAATGTATGTAATGTATGTAATGTATGTAATGTATGTAATGTATGTAATGTATGTAATGTATGTAATGTAATGTAATGTGATGCGATGTGATGCGATGTAATGCAATGTAATGTAATGTAATGTAATGTATGTAATGTATGTAATGTATGTAATGTATGTAATGTACGTATGGTACATAATGTATGGTATGGTATGGTATGGTTTGGTATGGTTTGGTATGGTATGGTTTGGTATGGTTTGGCATGGTATGGGATGGTATGGTATGTATGTATGAAAGTATGCAAGCATGTAAGTATGTTATTTTGCAAGTATGAAAGTATGCAAGTATGTGAGTATGTGATGATGTGATGTAATTAAGGAAGTAAGTAAGAAAGTAAGTAAGAAAGTAACTACGTAAGTATGTTAGTATAAAAGTAAGTAAATAAGTAAGTAAGTAAGTAAGTGAGTGAGTGAGTGAGTGAGTGAGTAAGTAAGTAGCTAATTAACTAAGTAAGTAACTAAATAACGAAGTAAGTAAGTAAGTAAGTAAGTGAGTGAGTGAGTGAGTATGTAAGTATGTAGGTATGTAAGTATGTAAGTATGTAAGTATGTAAGCAAGTAGCTAAGCAAGTAAGAAAGTAAGAAAGAAAGAAAGTCCGTACGTACGTATGTCAATATGTCAATATGTCAATATGTCAATATGATTCAATATGTCAATATGATTCAATATGTCAATATGTCAATATGTCAATATGTCAATGAATGCATGGATGTATGCATGTATACTACCTACATACATACATACATACATACATACATACATACATACATACATTAGTTACATACATACATACATACATACATACATACATACATACATACATACATACATACATGTATGTATGCATGCATGCATGCATGCATTGCCTTGCGTTACGCTCCGTCACTTCACGTCAAGTTACATTGAATACATTGAATACATTGAATACATTGAATACATTGAATACATTGAATACATTGAATACATAACATAACATGATATTACATTCCGTAAATACATAGATAGATAGATAGATAGATAGATAGATTAGATAGATAGATAGATAGATAGATAGATAGATAGATAGATAGATAGATAGATAGATAGATAGATAGATAGATAGATAGATAGATAGATAGATAGATAGATAGATAGATACATACATACCTTACCTTACCTTACCTTACCTTACATTACATTACATACCTACATACCCACATACCTACATACCTACATACCTACCTACCTACGTACCTACGTACCTACGTACCTACGTACCTACATACCTATGTACCTACGTACCTACGTACGTGACGTACGTGACGTACGTGACGTACATACGTACATACGTACATAGATACATAGGTACATAGATACATAGATACATAGCTACCTACATAGATACCTACACAGATACCTACATAGATACCTACATAGATACCTACATAGATACCTACATAGATACCTACATAATCCTACATAGGCCTACATAGACCTACATAGACCTACATAGACCTACATAGACCTACATAGGCCTACATAGCCCTACATATACCTACATATACCTACATGTACCTACATACATCTGATACCTACATATACCTCCATGTACCTACATATACCTACATACAAGAAACATCTCTGTGAAGCCTTTGGAAAGTTTCAAAATGAGTTCTGTCCGAGCTGCCACAACTTCACCGTTGTTTTCTGCCAAACATGGATCAAACAACATGTCTACAGCATGTGTAAATCTCCAAATGCAAACTTTCATCAAATATAACTATATATCAACCCGACTGTAGGTCATGCATGTTTGGAACTTTGCGATCATTTTTTTTAGAAAACAACAACACACACACATACACACACAAACAGCATCTTAAAAACAATCCTATTGTGGGCCACAAAGGCATTGAACGCATTCTTTGGAAATCTTTGGAATACATTTATGATTTATGCCGTTGCGGAACAGTACCTTCTTCACCCTTGTTGGGTGGATTTGAAAGTGTAGGTTGCCAACTGGCCTCGACCAACTCTTCGGCAGTCAGGTTTTGCAACCAGTCTGGCAATCCCTCCATTACAAACGGTCACCGAAATGGGCACACAGCGCATAGTCCATGGCAAACGGCCTGCTTTGCTCGGCTTGGGTTTGAAGTTTGAGGTCTCCAGGTGTCCAACTCTTTTTTCAAGGTGGCACCTTGATCTCTTCCAAAAGAATGCCAGTATATCATACACGGATAGCAGTGGTTTTCCTTTTCATCTTGCAGGAACAGGATACTTTAGAGTGCGTCAAATGTGGAAGTTCCCTTGCACTTGTTCTTGTTTTGACAACAAAATACTGCGAAGCCACTAGTCGACAGCAGAACACAGCGTGGCAACAAAGCACGCCATGTCTATTCCAACTGCAAGGCCACATGAAATTGAAAGAGGACTCAGCAGCTACCTCAAAAGAATACAAAGTCGTTGCAGGCATCCAAATGCCACATTCACTACCACCACACACTGAACCAACAAAATGATAAGGATCTACGAAGGGCTCCATCAAGCTGCAATTTGATTGTTTAGTAGTTCAGTACAAGAGGAAAATGGACCGAGTCAAGGGCTTCATTGCTCTGCTCTACTGCAGATGAGAATCACCCCAAGACTTTGGAAGGCTAAAACGAAGCGTTCAGCCCATCCATTTGATTCGCGCTAGCTAGGCCATGTACGCCATATATACAGAATGACATGAGATGCGTTTGCATCTCAGGAAACTGGTCGGCCCACGGGTCATTTTCAATTCAAGTGAAACTGTGAGACTTTTTGGAAAGCCCTGTTGCTTGATCAGAACCTTAAGAACCAATGGCATAAAGAGGAGTTATTACTCATGCTGCACACAGGCACAACAGACTGAGTTGTTGCAGTTGTTTCTGCATCTTTTTCTCCACCTTCATCATCGTTCCAACTTGCTTCTATGGTCTTGCTGCTTTCCTACTGAACACTTGGCTGTATTGCCATCTACAAAAAGCGCTCTATAAAGCTATAATATATTATAATTAATATGTTATAATTCATTATAGCTCGATGAAAATTATTCCATTCGGTTTGCTGTAAAAAGAAAAAATAGAACAAGTAAAATGTAAAGTATTGAAAATCCTGAGCCTGGGACAGCGTCAGCTCAGTCCCATTGTACATCCTCTGGCGCTTGGTGTGTTGTGGGGTTCCGAAGCAGCATCTGCGGCTCCTGGTCAAACACTGGAAATTCCAAAAATCTGCACAAAGCGGAGCAGGTTCCAACGTGTCGCCGAGCACGTCGCAAGTAAGTATCGTTCAAAACTTGCAATTTTCTGGATTAGGCAGGCATGATACAGAAGTATACAGAAAACAAAGGTCCAGTTCAGGCAGTCCAATTTTGGATTGCTCTACTTTGGGCATCTTTCGGACTCCAGGTGTCTTTGTTTGCTTGGCTTTACTCCATGTCAGCACTTTCGTGTTTTATGCACGGATTCATTCAGTGCAAGGATGTCACGATGTCACGATGTCGTTCCGTTCTTATCATTCTTCCATTCCCACCATGTGACAGGCACCTCATCTCCAGGCCAAAGCGGCTCCATAACGCTGGATGCCAATGGCGGAGCCCAGGCACTGCACCACATGGGAAGAGCATGAACTGAAACCAAATTGAAAGCCAGCCATGATAATTGAAATATTTTGAAATCATTTGCGATATTCTGCGATCAACCAGTTCTATGATAAAACATTGATGAACTACTTCCAACTTAGATAACTTTTAGGCAGACGAATTCAGACTCATTAGGAACTCAATGAATTAATATGAATTATGAGTTCCATTCAGATTATACGAATTCAGATCCATTCAGATCCACACCGTGGTGGCCTCGGCGGGGCTTCTGGTAGCAATAGCCGTGTCAACTGTCCCACATCCTGCCGTCGTGACACGTTTGCCTAAGGGCAGGACATCCCCAGTGCACTGTCACAATATGTCATTATGTGAGAATTACATAGAATTACTATAATAGACTATGACGTATTCAATTTATTTATGTACAAGATTCAGGAATCATTTCGTCTGCCTCGTCAGCACCCACTGTGAAGACTAGCGATCCACGTGGCGGATCAAAGGTCACATTGATCCTCGGTGATTCGATGTAGAAACCAAAAAACTTGTCCCGGCAACATCGGCAGTGACGTGATGACTTCCATCGTCTTCCATCCCCGGGGTGTTCACAATCAGCGTTTTAAAAAAATGACCAAATCATCAAACCTTGTAGTACAATACTGCAAAACACAGCAAAACACTGGAAACATGTTTCTGGGAGATTGTGGGAGTCTGCGCTCTTCCTGCCAAGATGCCTATGGTACGGCACGTTGTCTGGCTTCAATGCTGGTGATGGATCAGTCTCACCCTGCAGCGCTCAAGCATCTCCCACGTTCACGTTCACAGTTCACACTTTAGCTTTCAACACAGTGACCTTTTTGGTCTGCACAAAGGAATCACATAGATTCTTGTTGAGAGATGGGTCAACGTGTCCCTACCCCCTATGGCAAGAAAGACTGAAGCTTATACATAGTTATGCACAAAGTTTTTCACTAGCCGTCCCTAGCCAGATTAGCCAGTGGATGGCTCCGCTATGTTGCTACAATCCTGGGTGATTCAGCTTCATGAATCGATTTGGAGGTGCAAGAGCAAAGGTCTGTATTCCATGACACATCTATCGAATTCTATAATACAATTAAAGCATTACACAATGTCATCAATGTATCAAGCTATGAATTCTATGAAATGATGCTGGCCGCCTGGCCATCCTCATGCTATTTGGACAACAGAGGGCAGCAAAGCATTGCATATCACCCCTGCGAACCCTCTTCCAAGCCAGGATGATGGCCAAGTGATTGACGCCCCAGTTTAAAAACAGCAGCAGAAGGAACGCCACACTTCCACTCCTCGGTACTCAGGGTGTACTCGGATACTCGGATCACAAAGCCCTGTCCCGCTGTTGAAGAAACGCGTCTATCGTGTCTGAGAATGTCTACCGCGTCTACACTGATATCTGCTCACTCCAAAAAGCGCTCACTGAAAATAGCACGACATGTTTGAAACACATCCGAAAGCTGCTGCTTTCAACGGCAGCAGCCTGCTCTGCTTTCTTCCAACACTGCAATGTAGCAAGACAATACTTAATTATAAGATATTATAAGATATCACAACACGTCACAATCGCATGAGTCACACAAATAGATTTTAAAGATTTTTAAAGAAACATCATGAAACATGAAACATCATGATGAAACATAAGGCAAGGATTCTTTTTCGGATCTTTTCGCTATTTTTCGGTGCCAAGGCACGCAATGAAAAGCAGCAAACCATGTGCACCGCTGGCTTTGGATGAGTCCTCCGAACACAGTGGTGCATCTGTTGCCTTGGTGCGGCGTTGGTGCGGCGTTGGTGAGGCGTTGGTGAGGCGTTGGTGCGGCGTTGGTGAGGCGTTGGTGCGGCGTGCTCGGTGAATCTCGGTGAAATTCCCATGTTGGTAATACGAAACATCAAGAAACGTCAAGAAACCATAAGAAACCACGTACGAGTACGAATTCTTCTTGATGTCACGAGATGTTACGAATAACATCGAATAACATCATTCGGAGTCTTCTCAGAGGAAGACAAACAATTGACGAACAATATCGAACAATTGAACAAGCAAGGATGACAGGAGGTGCCAAGAGAACATCCGTTGAACATCCCCCAAATTCATCCAAATTCGTCCAAATTCGTCCAAATAAACCATAATAAATCAATCAAATTCCTCGATTGCCATTGCAGATCATTGCTCGCCAAGCGACCAGGCAGTATGGGTTGAGGGAGGCAGCGTTGGTACAGTGCATATCGGCCCAAGCACCGCAGCTGCAGGATCCAACCCCGCAAGTGCCGTCCTCGACATCGGCCGGAAAAAAATCAACCGAAGATAACCCAAAGGGATGTTGGAAGGACAACCAACAAAATTGAAAGTGAAAGGATGTGAAAGGGGATTGTTTGGTTTCCATGGAATCATCTGCTTCAAACCTCAATACTGGAGTTTGCTTTTAAATTCGTGGACTCAAACCATCTCAAACCATCTCAAACCCACAGCTTCCAACTTGCCCAACTTCCACCATTTCCCTCTCTGCAAGGTACCACCACACCAGGAGAACTCTCGCAACCACCCACCTGTCATGTTGGACACAGTGGTCCGTGCAGTGCAGAATGTGCACCAATTGGTCTCGAATTTATCAAATCGAAATATTCAGAGAACTAGTATAGAACTAGTCTAACATCGTGTAATATAGTGCAACTAGATGCAACTAGTGACAAAGATCCGACAGCCTCGCAAGAGATGCTACGGCCCTGCACGGCCAAGACCGGGCAAATGATGCAGACGAATATACACCTGCACCGCCAACCAGGGTCAACCCGATCAAAATGTTGCTCAGTTGTGTTGGAATCGAGATGTGTTACAATTTGTTGCCATGTATAGATACAGGATGATGCAGATAGTACATTCATCACTTGTTCCAGAGTTTGACTTTCATGAGCCACGACATGATTGATGTGCAAAGAACTTTGAACTGAATCTCCCACCAGAGACCGAAGAGACCGAAGAAGATCGCGTTGGCAGGGCGTTGCCATTTCCAACGACTGATTGCAGCCGCGTGCGGCCTGATAACGTAAAGTGTTCATTGCAAAAGTCATCAAACCAAATCGAATTGTTTTCTTTACTTTCAGGAGCGCCTGTGCCAAGTGTTTAACCCTTGCACAAGTTGTTAACACGTGTTTGAAAATTACATGAGATGGAAGCCCTTGCGGACATCAGAGTGAGCAAAGAAAGCCACACTGAACTGCTTTGTGGTGCAAAAATGACAATCGAAAATTTGGTCGTGCCTAACGGAGGAATACACGTCATCCTGCAAGCCGTACAATGTTGAGACAGGAAAGCTCAAATACTCCGAGACATGCCAGAAACAAACGATTTTTTCTTTAATGCTCACACACCGGTTCACCATGTTCACCTAGAATTCTTCAAGCGTAGCAACATTGCGGCCTCTACCATACTTACAATATGTTGCAATGACTTCTGGAGCTTCAAAAAGGTGGTCACAAAAGAAAAGTTAAAAACATGAGAAACAGCGTCACAAAACCGATAGTCTGGCAGAGGTCTGGGGTAGCAATATGTAGCAATACTATGCAATACTCATAGAATCTCATAGATTTTGGCAAAAAAAGATGTGCTCCTTGGCCACCTCCTTCCCACCGAGGCGTAGCCACCAGGAAGCACCGATTGAAACAATGAAGGTGAAAGCCTTGGTGACAGATCTTACAGATCTTACCGTGCTTACATATCTTACATTTACATACATTTACTATATCATTTACTATATTTTTTACTTACCGTGTCTTGCCACTTGGCATTGTGCAAACGGCAAACATGTGCAAACATGTGCAATCTTTTAACCCAATCGCAAGATGATAAAACGCGTAATTCAAACGGAGTTTGAGACAGAGCAAACCACGAGAGACATCTTGATAGATTAATCATGATCATTTGAATTAATTTGTCACAACTATCGTCCTGTAGTTTCATCTCTCGCTCATTTGTTCCTTTGGACGAGATAAACTCTGAAAACAATTCGGCTCATTGCGAGACCGGAGAACACTTTACTGCGCCTTACTGTCCCCCTCTACTTTTTGAGTTGGATATTTTTTTCTCTGTGGGAAACACGTAAAAAACCTGAGATTATTTGTGGAACCTTATCATTAGTCTTCTCCACAATATTTTTTGCTGCTTTTACTGTTACTCCAATTGCATGGTTCAAGAGTTCAAAAGCAACTAAGGGCGGGGCCGCAAGAACAGTTGCCCATACTAGCGGCGTAACTGTCGCTGCCTCGACGCAGATTGCAAGCAATATTAAGATGAGGGGCAAGATGATACCAGATTCTGAGATATTCTGAAACTCAAAGGCCAGCAAAAGAGACATGAAATGCCAACCCACCTCTGACATAACGTAGCGCGTGCCATCCCAGGGAAAGGCATGCCAAATTATTGCCAGCAAACCAGATGTTGTGTACAAAGTGAAGGACAGCGGGTTGAAGGCGAAGGACAGCCAGGCCTCAATTCTCGTCATCATTGAAGCCTTGTCATTAGTTACATAAGAATACATAAGACAATATAAGAAAATATAAGACGTCATTTGCAAAGTTGCAGGGAAGACACCATGAACAAATTCCAGCTGCAAATTAGGCACCATGAGGACAGGAGCCACTTCCCAGAGCCAAACAAATACTGCGCGATTCTTCACTGCTTGTCGCTCACCAAAAAGAGAGAAGTCCCTACTTGGATCGCCAAGCTTGGTTGAGAAACCTCAAAGTGGGGCGCTGAAAGCTGCGCATCCACTCAGTGCGCAAAACCATCTTTGGCTAAGCGATTGTTTTGGATAGGTGGCTGCAAGTGATGTTCAATCAAAATTCGAAGTTCCCTTGTACTGTTCTCATCTGGTGTACTATATCATACCATATTATACCTCCTTATTTTACCTCCATGTTGCACATGTTTTTCAACTCCCCCTCCCATCTTTTAAGATCTTTCCTGCTGGGCGGGAGATCCAGGAGCCATCATGTCCATGCAACTTTTCCGAGTGTGTATAAGAAGCATGTAGAGAAAGCATATGCAAAACATATTATATGAGTACGAGAGTATATCTAATATATTAGATTCATACCGTAGATTCGATGGACGAATTATTCAAACCCTTATACATAGAGCAACCCCCCTCACCCCAAATATCAATGTTATTTTCTTGTTTGGTTCGTTCCTTCGAATGGACGAAATAAATCAAACCCCCAGAGCAGGAACAGCGCTACGAAACCATAACATTGAAATTCGGGGGAGGTAGGGGGTGGCCTATAACTCATGGATAGGGGTTTGAATAATTTGTCCATCTACTGTATGTAGATATTATGAGTCATAACTACTACAAGTAATATCTTCTAATATCTTCTATAGACTTGTACAATCTTGTAAATGTACATAGATTGCAAAAGGAGATTGTACTCATGAACACAACATGTCACAAAAATACGAATGTAATGATATGATACTTTCATCCCCCTTTGAATTAAGTAAAAAGGGTGGGCGTCACCATTCTTTACTGGTCCGGGGGGGGCTAGAAGTGGGACATCTATAGAATGGAACCCCATCTCTATAGAATGGGACCTCCGAGGGTCCTACAAACAGAGACATGACTATAAAATGGAGGAACCGGTGATTGGCTTGAAAAGTGCTTAATTTCCGTTTTTTTCCGCAGTTTTGTGCCTAAAAAATGGTACACCGAGAATTTGTAAAATTATGTTTTTTTTTGTTTTTGTTGTGGGCTCTGGGAATACCATTCTTTAGAGATTTTCTTAATATTCTGGTCGACCTTGAAAACTTTCAAAGTTCCATTCTTTAGAGTTTTTGGGCTCGTTCAACAACACCAACCAGTGCCTGTGGGTTCCATTCTATGGTGATTTGATGTGATTTGCATTGATTTGCTATGATTTGCTGCTCTTTTCTCCCCTATCTATGGGGGCACGACTGGTGTCTAAAGAATGGGAAATCGAAATTCTGAGGTGATCGCGGTTGATAACCCTGAATCTCTATAGAATGGAACCTCCAGCTTCCACCAGATGAGATCAAATAGCGACCGGTACTCCTCTAAAGAATGCAAGTTTTCAAACATTGAAAACCCACAAAACCCAAATCTCTAAAGAATCCTGGGGCCCAGGGTCACCTTTTCCTTGAGGAAATTCCAAGGGCGAGTACTTTCTTTTTTTTCCTTGTTTCACCGGCCAAGCTACGAACAGTCTTCACCGCTTCACGCCGCCAAAATTCACCCTGTGCTTTGACACCCTTGACGTCATTGGTATCGAGGAATCGGCTCCACCTCCGCGTGGACATCTCTTGGACATCAACATGAATTGGCAGAAACAAGCATAACTCAGCATAACATGAAACATCATGAGACATCATGAGACATCATGAAACATCATGAAACATATGAAGATTTGGCGGAGCACGGCTTCCTAGAAGGACCAGTGTACACTTCACTAGGATTTCCCTCTACTTCACATTGTACATAATTAAGACTAATTGAACATATTGAACATTGTTGAACGCTATTCAAACACTCTCACTTGCACTACTCAACCCACCCACCTGCAGAGACCACTCTCGCGCAAGACTAGCCGCTCCGTCACGACAGTACCTGAATTCACATGTTTTGTCGAAGTCTCTGGTGCGAAATCCAGTGAAAGCTGAAACAACATGAAACTAACATGTAAATGCACGTGCACACTTAAAACACATCTTTTGCTTGTCCCTTGGTTCTTGCTACTGGTACCAGTAGTAGCCAGTTGACAGCTGGATGTTGTATTACGAGATGTTACGAGTATGTTGTAAGAATAAATTCACCAGATAGGCCCATAGCTCTCCTAAAACTGTCAAGCAAAATGATTGCAACTCCAAGCCCAGCAACCCCTTGCGTTTCATATCTCATGCATTCTGTTTTGGTTGCCTTCGTCCGGGTCCCTCTAAAGGCCCGGCCTGGCCGTCGAGCATCTGGATAAATATGCGAATAAACCCATTCGCTGGTTATCTCTTCCATTCCTGGCATGCACTGAGAGATTCTCTGAGATTCTCTGAGATACAGAGAGCATTTGAAGCTATTTAGGATTATTTGGGTGCGATGCACTTGGTGTCCTTATGCCGGCTGATCAAGTAAGCGCCATGGCTGTGACATTCTGTGACTGCCTTTTGTCCAGACCAAACGTTTATCAGTTTGAGACAAATGGAAATTACGTGAAACCGTCAAAGTTCCGCCATGTTTATTAGTTGGTCATGCAAAATCATGCAAACAGAGGTGTCGGCATTACAACATGGCTTTTGAGCGTATCGCTATGTAGACATTCATCAATGGTGAAGCTTGTAAGGAAATTGTTATGTGAAACTAAACCACTGAGCCTTATGAGGAATGACAGCATGCAAACAGTGGTTGTTTCTCAGCCCTTCAACTTGCGTTCATCTCGCTTCTACTTTTGATATCGTTTGACAATGTTTGACACTTGTTGAGTTCTTCAACTGGTATCGATGCAAAGGTCTGCAAAACAATTCGTCGCTCTTTTCCTCATTTTGATTGCTGCATGCGGCCAACTGTTTACTCAGCTGCACAACAGCGCTCATGTGACTCACGTGCTTGATGATTCTCCATGATCATCTGCTACGTTCATCTACGTCCAGCTTTAAATCGCTCTTTGTGAAACAGTTTCACTGCCAGCTTTACGTGATTCTTTGGCATGCGCTAGTAGGGTGAAAACCACCCTACACAGTCCTTTCAAGCCAAGAGTCGTAAGCCATCGATATTCAATATCTTTGCAATCCAGAGACCACAACAAAAAATGTAAAACCTTGGTGAGGGTTCATTAATCGTATCTTTCATTATCACTTTGTCGCGGCTTGAGATTTCAGGGCAGGCCTCAGGGAACAGTGTCAGACTTGTCAGACTGAATCACTGAAGGTCATGGGACAAACAGAACAGTACAGGACATTGGCATCCAACTAGTCGACAGTAGTCAGGTTTCTGCGAGCGAACTTGAAACAAATGTCTCAACATTCAACAGATTTCAACAGTTGCATCGCTTCAGACTCCCGCAATGAGACTACAGCTGCAATTCGAGGCTCCTCCTTTTTGGCAAATTCCTGCAATCTTCCGCAGTTCCGCTCTGGTTTGTGTGGATTGTCTGCTCACATGTTCTTTTCCTTCTGGGAATTCTGAATGTCAAGAACTCTGAGAAACCTGAAAACATGATAGCATATGTATGTCTAAACAATCTTCTAAACATTTCAGCAAACGGATGTCCTCTGCTGCCAGGCACCGTCCATGGCTGTCATTGCGGACTTTCTCCACCATGGCGCTGCTCACCTCCATCGCCTGCACCAGCTGTGAATCGATCACAGTGTCGGCCGGTGCTCGACATTTCAGACATCAGACTGGTTGCATGGAGAAATTTGTAAGGCAGATTCGGCAGGGTTCATAGGAAGTTGACAAATGTTTCAAAAAATATCTAATCAAGAGAACAGGGTCGACAATCAGTCATGTTATGCAATGCCAGAAGGTCTCTGAAAAATATAAGAAAACTACTGGTTCCGCCGGCAGCACATGACAAATGATACAAATGGTTTCCCTGTTTCCAATAGGAGCACATGCGAAGGAGCATCCGCAATCATTCCCAATCACACTCTATTTCAGAGAAATGCCAAATGAAAACTTGAGGCCAGGGGGGAGGTACGAAAGCTAGCAGGGCTGGGGTAGGGTGGTAATCGTAAAGGGGGATTAGCAAGGTGAAGTCGGAATGCGGCAACGGTCTCACGTGGTTTGTTGGAGTTGCTGCAAGTCACAAACAGTGCCAATCTTTTGATGTTGATGAGGTTGCTGACCAGAACGATGAAAGAAACTGTATGACGAAAGTGATGGCAACAGGAATGAGTTGATGACGACGATGACGAGGACGAGGATGATGAGGATGATGAAGATGATGGGGATGATGAGGATGATGAGGATGCTGAGGATGAGAATGAACATGAAAATGAGGATGGTGATTATGATGAGCAGGGCCGTTGCCCCCCAATGCAGTAATCGTCTCTCGCCAAGTGTTGTAAGCAAAAGAAACACATAAAAAAAAACGCCCCCCAAATGGAAACCCGAATCTGCATAAAGATGTTCGAGACAATGCAACACATGAATGATGGTGATAAGGATGATGATGAGGATGATGATGATGTTGTTGATGATGATGTGGATGTTGCGAACGATGGGGATGATGATGATGATGACGGTGATGATGATGATGATGATGATGATGGTGGTGGTGATGATGATGATGATGATTGATGATGATGACGACAAGAAGGAGGAGGAGGAGGAGGAGGGGGAGGAAGATAATTGTGATCATTTGGAAGCCGGCAAGTTTCCGATGATGATTTTATAGAGTTGTTGGTTGGTTTGCTGAACATGACGTCTTGAAGATGAAATACTGAAGAGGACGACCCTATACCTGCAGGAAACCAATAGCGGGACCAGGGGATGTGGATGCTGATCAACCACGAGGAGGACGAAGAGGATGATGAGGATGATGATGATGATGATGATGATGATGATGCGGATGATGGGGATGAGGATGATGATGATGATGATGATGATGATGTGGATGCTGCGGATGATGGGGATGATGATGATGATGATGATTATGCGGATGATGGGGATGAGGATGATGATGATGATGATGAGGATGAGGATGATGATGATGATGATGCGGATGAGGATGATGAGGATGAGGATGAGGATGAGGATGAGGAGGGTCAGGATGAAGATGAAAATGAGGATGATGACCCTCTACCAGCCGGAAATCTCTTCTCGGGGGGGGGGGTTCTAACTGGAAAGTTTCAGGGTTTCCAATGGTCCTGCTCCCTGCCTATTCCTTGCTGAAGCAAGAGCAACTTCAGCTAGTACAGCTAGCTTTCGTGATTAGTGGGAAAGATCCAGGAAGTATGTCTAAACGTGCCTTTTTGACTTTAAAGTAAGCTTGATACATCTTGTGTCCTTGAGTCGCCCAGACCTGCCCTTCTTGAAAAGCACGTGTTTGAAGATTGCATCATCAAACACAGGTTTTCCTACCACATTCCCTCATCCGACTCATCCGACTCATCCGACTCATCCTCATCTCTCACTGCCTGCTGAACTCGCTGCTCAGCCCCTGTGACCAAGGTCTGGGCATAGGCAGCGTTGGCTGCCACCTGCCCCGGCACCCCCGTTGCCCACGGTGAACACACTTAGTTTTCAGTCCCGCCATGTCACGTCTACACGGTGTGGCAAAACGCTGCTGGACAGGTGGGGAGGCAGTCAAACTGCTATGAAGAGGAACAGTACAGGCGATTCACTTACCATTTCACCTCAATATTTGTAAAACTCCTGCAGTAAAACCCTATGTTCCATGTACATCATATCGACTACATTGCAGCGTCGGTTCAAAAAGTGCGGAGTGCTTACCGGCAGATTAGTTGTTGTGGTTCATCCCCATTGTATAATATAACTACATTGGTGGCTGACCTGGTAAAATACAGGTTATCAGCCGTAGTCTCACCACTTTGCCATGGGGACCCCATCTGACATCCCTCTCGCCATTCCAGGGTCGGATCCACCCGATGCTGTGCATATCATAGCCGGAGATGACTCCGAGCCCATGGATGATAATACCATTTATCAGCCTGTGGTTGCATACTTCACGTTCACACAAAACAACCTTGCACAGATCACAAGTGGAAACACACTGCAGGTCATGAGGGAAGCCGGACAAAGGCACCTTCAGATAATGCATGGAGTAGTGGACAAGATCAAGAACATGTGGTCAAACAGGTATGCATTGCAAGAGCAAGAACACAAGCAAAGGTTGCAGGACGTAGAGGCAAAGGCGCTTACTGCAATAGCTGAGGCAAGGAAGAGAGGTGACGAACTAGAGGTTAGATTCAATGAGGCTCGGGCAACTCATGATGCCATGGCTGAGGAGTTCAAGGTAGAGGCAAACACCAAGCATGAGCTTAAGATTGCAGAGGAAAGGCAACGTATCACAAAGGAATTTGAAGCCTCCTACGCACAAACAGTTGAGCATGCTAGGTCTGCCATAGCTACTGCGAAAAAGCAATATGAGGAACAAGCTGCAATTGAGCAAGCCCGTTTCATTCAGTTGAAAGTAGATATTGAAAACTACAAACGGGAAATGTCAGAAAAGATCAATGAAGCAGCGGCACAAGACCTTAGCCTTCAGGACCAGATCGATGACTTGCAGGACCAGCTGAGTCATGTTGCCAAAGCGCAACCAGCATCTGTGCCGAAAGCATCCGTCCCGAAAGCTGAGCCAGCCGCCAATGCCGGCGTGCCTACATATTGCTACTCCGAGAGCACCCGATGCATCCGCTGCAAAAGCCGAGAATGAGCCGATCCTAGAAATCAAATCGCCTGGAGTGTTGGCACAAGAGGCTAAAGCACAGTTGGACGAGCTACTCAAAGGTGTTGCTCCTCCCGACCCAGCTGTCAGAAATGACCAGCCTCATTTGCCGACGTTATCATCAGGTTGCATGACTCCAACTGAGCCAATCAAGACTCCCCCACATGATTCCCCAAAGAGTGTAGGCAAACAACAGCAGGTGATGGGAGCTTCAGATCTTATTGAGTTGGTGAAAGCCTTAACCCAAAGGGATGAAAAGGATAAGCCAAAGACTAAGGAAGCTGGAGTCATCAAGTTGAATCACATACCAGCACCAGAGTCATACAGAAATTGGAAGAACCATTCAAGGGATGAAGTAAAAAGCTGTTCTGATCGTCCGGATGAGGCTTGGGCTTGGCTGAACGAGGTGTATGACCAGTCTTACACCCGTGAACAGCTCGAGAAGAAGCTTCAAGATCCTGGGAAGTTTCTCACGCTGGATACAAAGTTATCAGCACGCGCTCAGCCGGCGGAGATCTTGCCACTAGGATTCTGAACTCTAAGGAGCAGCAATCCCGAAAAGGTATCCAAGTCAGGGGAAGATATGTATTGCTCATGTTTGAAGACTATTTCAAAACATCAGAAGAAGCAGGTAGTCTTTACAGAGTTGAAGATCTTTCGGGCGTCGTGAATGTAGGCAAGATACTGTCCAGGACCTGAGAAGATTTGTCAATAAGTGGGACGCTACCCTCGCAGGTATGGCTACAACTCCTGAAGACGCCGTGCTAAGGGATATCCTTCTTAGGCAGATCCGTCCTAGTCAGTTGCTGAAATATGACATTGAGGCTTTTGATCGTGCATCCGAAAAGGCCCATGAGAAGTCTTGAAGTTTCTCCATCATTCCATGAAAAATCTGATCGACAGAGAACGGCTGAGGGAGAACCGTAACCGCATTGCAGAAAAGAACAAGGCCGGTGGTCCGAAGGACACTAAAGCTGCACCCGCCAAAGGCGATGGTCGTGGCAACCCCAACCGAAAGGGTTCTCCGAGTCGTGGTAGGTCTCAAGAAAGGAGCAAAGGTGAAAAGTTTGCCATAAGTTCCAGAAAGGCCAGTGTGACAAGGGGTCATGCCCAAGGCAAATGCAGGCGAGGTGACAAGTGCTTTTATAAGCATGATGACAAAGCTGCAGCCGCCACTAAGGACACCAAAAGGACTACTTCACCAGCACCGAAGAAGAAGGGAAAGGAGTCCAATGCCGCTCCATGTCTGACTGATCCTCATCCCAAGTTCGCATGCATTGCAAAGAAACAGCCGAGGGTAACCTCGAGCTCAGAAGGGTCAAGTGTCAGCATGAAGCGTGTCCGATTCCGAAAGATCCCTCAGGTGATCGAGGTGAGGGCTGTAGAGGTCGTCAGGTCCCCGTCAGACATCGTCCAAGAGAGTTCACAAACGTGTACAGAACATCCGATGACGTTCCTGTCTCGTCCAAGGTTGAACAGCATGAAGCGCAGGTGAGAGCACGTCAGCTCCAGGAAACTGTGAAGCTTCATGATTCCGATGTAGCACCAAGCTGTGGGTTTTGTTGTTGGAACGAAGACACATGTGACATCACGTGCAAAGAATGCAGATTTGTTAGCGGCCCCAAAGCCCTTAGAGATGTCAGTCGTTTCCCATCAATTGCAACCGCCGCGCCAAAGGCCGGTGTGAGTTGGCTTGTCGATTCCGGTAGCGAGTCTGACTTAAGTCTCCAAAGGTATGCTGAAGGGTAGGGATGTCAAAGCATATTAAATTGGATGGAGGATCACCTCCCCGAGTACCAATATGGTCTCATGGCGACCAACGCCGATGGACATGACGCCCCCGGCATCCTCTTCAACGGTGTCGCATACGAGCTCGAACTGATAGGTTCCTCCGATGTCGAGTCTCTTGCCAAAGCTGTCCACGTGGACAAGCGATTTGCCGATTTTGCCACACGTGTGAACAAGGTTTGCAGGGGTATTGCGTCATGCTCCCGAGTCCCATTGGACAAAGAGCTGCTCATTGATTTGGAAGATTTCGCAAAAGCTTTCCGCAAGGAAGTGCCCCCTGATGTGTACATCACAGTCAGCAACTTGTTCGGCGTGGCAACGAAGATGGATCGGCATGGCAAAAGCAGATTTCAGTTTCTCCGCGCTCGCATTGGAGAACTCGGCTATGAAAACAATCTGGAAAGCGTCTTTGTCCCAGTGAAAATCCGCGCCATCCAAGGCCACTCTAAAGAAGCCTTAGAAAGAGCCGGTGGACTTTACGCAAACTCCATCCAGGTCTACTGTGCTGAAAACGTCAGCCCGGAGCGAAAAGCCGCCCATTTGCGACATGGCGGAGGTTCCGACGGTTGCCTATCATCACACGATGAGAAGCAACTGCATGGAAGAGCATTGCCCGAAATGGCCTCCTCCCTGGCGGCGGAGAAACCGTGAATTCAGGCAGAGCTCACGTCTACCTTTCTGACAAACGCTATGGCGCTGATGGCTATCGCTCTGGATTGCGTGGACAATGCCCAGTTGAGGTCAAGATCGTACTGCAGCAGGCTGTCCAAGGTGGTGTTATCTTCGGCCGAACTGAGATGGACGGGATCACCACATCGGAAAGAATAAACTTCCCAGTACATCGCGAGCATTTCTGAGGATGACAGGGAGATTTTGTGGAGCCGCGCCGAGAGCAATCTCGAGCCCAGCACATGGGAAAAGCTGGCAGAATCCTCAATCCCAACGTGTTCGACTCACTCCGCGTGATGACAATGATACCTCCAATGATGTCGCCATGGATGACACCAGCACAGGGCAACCCGATGCTCCGTCCACAGCAAGTGCCGACCAAGCTGATACCAGGGTGCGCAGTGACCAGCCACCCTCGCGGGTGCGCCGTGTCTACGTTGCACCGAAAAGTGCCGAGCCATTCACATGGGGATTGCCTTCTTTGCATGGTGGAGTACGTCAGCGGCCAGGTCACCTGCACAACTTGTGGATACGAGCCTCTTCCTGTTGACGAATCAGGTGAGATCAAACGACAACCAAACCGCAGAACGAAGGTACTCGAGAAGCGCATGAAGAAGCTTGCGGAATTTGGAATGAATTTGGTATGTTCGGAAAAGTCAACTCCACGCTACTAGCCACCCTTACAGGTGAGCAGGCTGATGCACTTCGAAAAGAGATGGGGGCACGAGGCATTACCAGCCTGGAGTCGTCTGTCCTGAGAGATTGCAGAGATCGCTACAAAAGGGCGAAGCAGATGGGCTATGAAAATGTTGAAGACCGCTATGCCAGCGATGTGACTTTCTGCGACAGGGTGCATGAGGATGGCAGAGGGCTGAATGACTGCATCTTTGGTGACATGATGGCATTTGCAAATTTGCCAGATCCGCCTCGCACCAGGACTCAGGTATCAGCTAGCGTCGCCGCTTAATGCCGAACATGCCAACTGTCTCTCGAAGTTGATTTACATGTCTCAGCCTGCAGGTGTGGATGGTTTCCCCTTCGAGTTCAAGCAAAAGTGGACCAAGGTGTGGGGCTTCATGTTTGGGCGACACGTTTTCAGTGAGGCCGAGTACGTCGAATACATTGGTCGAAAGAATTCCTACAGGCAGCTTCTTACATGGTCCGGAATCATCCAAGTCCCTTTTGACGGGACGCAAAGATTCCTGGAGGAATTGTATGAACGCAACCTTCCCTTGGCGCTTGAAAACATTGAAAGGAAGGAGAAGCAAAGCGTAGCTGCAAAAGCCAACCCTCAGGCCGAACGCAAAAGGCAGGCTGAGGAGGAGGCAGTAGGAACACCAACAGCGGCTGAAGCAGTGACCAGCTCCGCGCGAGCGGCAGCCTCATCCGGATCAACGCCATTTCTCGTGCCAGAGGCACCAACCCGAAAGAGCGGCGCAAGACCCTTCCTGGAGCCAGAAGTGCCACCGTCACCGAAGGCATCCAGCTCAGATCGCCCTGATGCTTCTTGGAGTTGGAATAGAGATCATTACGGTGCTCGCCGTGAATGGAGCTACTGGCGAGGGGCGTGGCATTTCCGAGATGGGGCCGGTGGCCGTTGGATTCTCTGGAACCGCTAGATATGATGTGTAGCCTTTTGCAAGATGTGGCATGGTAAGTTGCCTTCCCTTGCGTTGCTATATGGGCTTTCAGGCTTGAGCTTTTTAGAGAAACTTTTGAAATGCGGCATAAAATTCCCAAAAGCCAAATAAAAACAAACCGGCTACCCGCGAGGGTTAGCTCGTTCATTGGTTGCTCAGTCTCGCCGCAGTCTCTGCTCGCCTGAGGGGGGTGTAAAAACTCCTGCAGTAAAACCCTATGTTCCATGTACATCATATCGCCTACATTGCAGCGTCGGTTCAAAAGTGCCGAGTGCTTACCGGCAGATTAGTTGTTGTGGTTCATCCCCATTGTATAATAACTACATTGGTGGCTGACCTGGTAAAATACAATATTCAGCGTTCTAAAACTACACTCCCTTGAAAAACATGAATGTTGGTCCACTTTTCCGACGCAGGATTTAAATGCAAGCATGACAAAGCATGATTCAATGCCAGCTTTTGATAGTCCAACGAGTGATAAAGCAATGCGCCATGGCATTGGACATCCATGACCGTTTGTAAGCAGAAACAGCATCTTATTGTTGACAAAACACATCAAGTGTCCATCTCGTCATGTCTGAAGCTCAGCACTCTATCGAAAAAAATCACACATCCTTACAGGGCGATCAAATACCACACAAGTTGAAACATTGTTCAGACATTTCCAGCAGCTTCACAATCTTCTCGCAGTAGCTTCATCACACCAAATCCTTTGGTTTGGAACCTCCAAATTTGGAAGCTTCCATGACACGGTAAGACATTAGCAAAACATGTTCATTCCTAGTCTGTCTTCATACGGCTCCCACCTCCTTGGCAAAAGCTGAGACAGCATCTCTCCAGAATCTTTCAAGATCTTCGCAGCTACCCTCCTCCAATTAAACCAGCCTAGATACCTTCTATTCCTACTATATAATTATTGTATTAATAATGTATTAATTGTATTGAATCAACATGCGAAATCATGTGAATGGATTGATTCCATGGTGTGACATTCTTTGAACAAACACCTTTCGCAACAAATTTCTTGAGGGCTTTGGAGCTGAAGATCTCTCCAGCAAGCTGCAGCCGCCAAATAGACTGCATTGAGTTTCAGATTCGGTTCACTTCGCAGATTTCACAGGTCCTTGAGGATGTTGTTACAATATGTTACAATGTTGTTATTGCCCTCTGTTGTTACACACTGAACAAAGAATTGAAGCCGCATAAGATGCACAAGATTGCACCATGAAGCGGCAGTCGGCGTGCGTGCGACCGCTCAGAAAGGATGTGTGCTTTGCACGCTCATCACTCACCCGCTTCAAGATGGAAAAAAAACCGTCGCAAACGTTCGCACATGAAGTTGATGCTTGCAAGGCAGAAAGAGTCAGAAAGGCAAGTCCGCTTCTGTGGAACTGTTCAACCTCTGGTCCCTTTTGTCCAGTGACATCCAGTGACACTTCAGACATGTCCCTCTTGCAGCTCTTAAGGTTGGGTTACCGTGCTTGCCCCATCTTGCCCCAACTCATCTCTTTCTCGGACCGAACTTTCTGTCAAACTATGTCGTAACATGTCGTAACTATGTCAAACTGTCACTCAAACCTGGAGAGAAATCGGTCCACGAGGCTCTGCTGTGCTTGTCGCGCAATGGATGCAATGGCCTTGCCACTTCCCCGAGCTGAACATGTTTCCGAACATGTTTGCCACTGAGTATTCTCTGGTACGCACACTTTCCATCACTATCCCACTTCAGAATGCGAAATTTGTCCAGTGGAAACAAAATTAAATAGCTCTATCACACGCTATCAATCATTTTGCTGTGCTGAGTCTTGTGCGGACGTATTCATGTTCGAAGGATTGTGAAGGCTTGAAAAACAAAACTCAGCAAACCCTTCCTGCCTGGAATGGTTGCTCATTGATAGGGGTAAGTCGCAGGCCTGCAGAGGCACCCCAATTTTGTACGCAGTAGTCTTGAGCCGCAGCCATATTCATCACACATGATGACAAGATATGAAAAACGAACAATTCTTGATCAACCGTGCCTTCGTAGGGATCGACCACCTTACATCCGAACCAAAGCAAACCACACAAAAATTGGAATGCAACTTGAACCCAATGTATATTTTATACTAGTTCAGTTCAAACTTACTTTCTACCATGCTATGGTTGTCTCAAGCTGAAAAACTCCTCTGCTGTTTCCAGACTATGAGACCATTCCGTTCAAAACCCTGCATACGACTAGAGCAACTGAGCGAGAAGGCCATGTCGTTCATCATCAGCCTGTGAAAAAACTGCCACAAGATGCCGAAGTGCAGAGCTTGTATGAGCTTGTACATCTGGTACTATTGAAAAGAATTGATTTAGGCTATTTCCCACTTGCGCTCCTTGACAGCTTGGTCTTAAGCAGTTCAGTGGCTTTGACCTTGGCTGTGATCTTTTCATCCTGGTAAATGGGAACCGCCAACGTGACCGAACAAATTTCAAGTTCGTTTCCTAAACACAGCTCTGCTGGCTGTGACATTGTTGCTGCATCAGGTTCGGAGATACAAATTCCCTACGGATGTTTCACTATTGGTGATGTGTTGCTTCTCAATATTTGGGCTATCAACTGGAATTCTATCAGTCTTGACCGGTCCCTGTGATGCCCGTTGTTGGAAATAGAATGAAATAGAATTAAATAGAATCAAATGATGTCAATCAGTTTTGAAGTCGGCCTCTAGCTAGTTTTGATGTCGGTAGGATCTGTTTCAACGTGCGACCTCGCCCTGAGGTAGACGCTTGACTGGTTCCATCGTGCCTCACTGTGGCCCCCGCCCGGCTCAATTTGACAAGGCATGTGGCCTTTCCTCACATTTCCTCACCACCCGAAAGCTTCAACTTGTGCACTCAGCGATGCTCAGCGAACGGCCTGGTTTCTGACATCTGGATGGTTTTTCCTGAGAGCAAATGAGAACAGGATAGAGTATAGAGTATAGAGAGTCCGGAAATGCAGTGCAGTCCACGGAGTTTCTGTTTCAACCGGAAACCACTACAGTACTCGTAGCAACTTCAGCACATATTAGCCAGGATGCAGAATCATCATGTTGCAGCTGATTCCTACTATTTTCAACCCGTTCGGCACTCTTCCAGCATTCTTCCTTGTTCAGCTTGTATATTGTATTCAGTTTGTTTAGACTTGGATTTTGGAAGCTTTTGTCTCTTGGACTCCACGCCCAGACTTCCAAGACTTGTCGGAGGCAGAGTTGCAGGTGCCCGTGCTGACAGACAGCTCGTGGCTGTCGTAGAAGGGGGTGGCACAGAGGCTCTCGTGCTTACTGCAGCTGGAGAAGTTGCCTCAGCGAAACAATCCAATCAAAGTGCCAAGTGAAACAATCACAAAGATTCACAAACAGCAAAAAGGTGCAAAATTCATCAAGTTCCAAATCATTTCAAAACTAAATTCCAAGTACAATGACAGAGACCCGTTGGGGTTGTTACAGATTGGGGGGTTTGCAAACCCCAGGCGGAATCCCCCAAGCAGACTAATGACAACAAGGGGGGGGCCAAACAACAACGAATCCCCCGATCAAGAGCACCCCACCCTGATTCACAACTCCCTTCCCCTGTTGCTCTCAGTTGTGGCCCAATACTTTACGTGTCTACACGATACACGCTAGGAGCTCCGTCTAAGCTACTGGCCTGTCTAAGCTACAGCCCTACTAATCCTACTATATAATCTACTGATATCTACTGACTGTTTTCTACAAACACCGAGCACCATGGAACTCTGCGGGCAGCAACTTCGCCCACACCATCTGCGCAGCAGCTCCTCCGCCTTCTGCAGCCCTAAATGAAAAAACAAAATGGTACGGAGACATCGCGCATCACAAGGACACCATCGAATCCTAGTTCGAGTAAGGAATTTCCGAGCAGACTCGCTGTGCACCATATGGTAAGGTGCAGCATTTCATGCGCGCGCCATCACTTTACGGCGCTTGACACAACAACCTGGATGCAGCCACCCCACTGCGATTTGCAACCAAACTTGTCCAAATGCCATAGAACTAGGCACGCAGCAACCCTCCTGACACCATCCTGAATCACTTTCTTCAGTGACCTACTAAGCTACTGGCTACTGACCTCCTGCACCACTGATCCTATGATTTATTTACTGATCAAACTCCAGCTACTGATTTACTGACTTCTTGATTCACTGAGAGGGCCGGTCTAGTGGATAAGACGCATCCCTCATGTGTCAGACCCAGATTCAATACCCGGGAGCAACACTAGGCAGACAGGCGGGCCACTACCCCAGCCCTGCAGTTAAGGGGATGAGCTAGGGTGTGGTCTGTAAAAACTCTCTCTCTTTCTCTTTCTCTGTCTCTCTCTCTCTCTCTCTTTCTCTCTCTCTCTCTCTCTCTTCACTGATCTATGGTCTAACATCATCTGCTGACCTCTGATATTGACCTCCTGCTTCTCTGATCCTCTGATCTATTGATTTCTTGATCCAAGCCGCTGACCTACAAGTACAAATCTACTTTCCTCTACTGCCTTCTATGTGCTTCGCACTGTTCTCTTCTGTACTCTCGTGCAGATCTACACTGTTGCATGTGTTCGTAACTCGGACATTTCTTCCTCAAGTTCCTTTGGTAAAGATATGTATTTATTATATATATTTTATTACAATGTTTTTCACAGTTAGCATCATCTGAAACATCTATAGTACACACCATTGATTTTAGCATTCAGTCTACCTCACTGGTCAACGTGCCAAGCCCGTGAAAAAGACTCTTTGCAATGAGTGGAAACTGCCAGCATCATTCAAAACCTGATCAACACATTTTGAGTCACATTGAGTGTGCGGCTGCCGCCACCCTGACACGAGATATCAAGAGATCATGTTGACACAGCTTGGAATAGCAAATTCCAGTGCGCCCCGAAGTGCTGCTTCAATTCTCGGATTCAGAAACAAAACAACCGAACACACCCAAACACTTTGTAGTTTCTGGTTTCAAGGACTTTTCTCATTTTCCAAAGCGAGACAAAACTGAAGTCGGAGGTCCGAACTCATTCAAGGCACTGTTCGCAAAATGCAAATTGACTTGGGATTGCTTTGTGCAGTAGCTGTCACTTGAATACATTCATCGAAATAGCTTCAAAGCTGTAGGTTGGACTCTTCGATTCTTCGATCAAAAAGTTGCATTGGGTGATATATGATGATGTTTTATGATTTCATGATTTTTTATGATGTGTACTGAGTTTTACGCGCGAACATCCTCAAAACATGACAAAGCCCGCCTAGGCACATAGCTCGATTCGACCTCGACAGGAAGTCGAGACAGGTGCCGGTGTTGCTCCCAGAAACGCTAAAATGAAGTGCAGATCCGAGCAGTATCTGCAGTATCTGTTTAAGATGTTTTTAAGATATTCAATTATGTTCAATTGTGTTCAATCCCTTCCCTGGATATGTCCAGATCACATTTCATATCATTTCATGATATCTCTCTTCACATGTTACTATCGTGTTTCAGGGTGGTTCCATTCTTCATCATTCTTCCATATTCTTCCCCTGTCTATCGTCCTTTAAAATCTCGCGCCTTCACTGGTGACGGAGACAAAGGTGTGCGAGACACTGTTGACGCCACCGAGAAGCTCGTGTCCAACTGTCAGGGCAGCTCCGGGGCTCTCCCCCCACTTTAGTTTTAGGACTTTTGAATGATTGTACAGATTTGTACAGTTATATCCTGTTGTCATGTGCCAGTATATTCACCTATTTCGTCTGCGTATCGCTACATTCACTAATCAGGGTGGCCATGGCAGGCCCATTTCTTTGGTGTACCCAACATGTTGCACCCAAATTGCCTGGGTCTGCCAAAAGTGGGGGTCGTTTCGGTCCTGGCTGATAGCCAAAATACGACAGAACAATTACAACAATTGCAACAATTACAACACTACCAATCAGTACTACAAGAAAATAATACAACACGATAAGATCCAATGGCATCTGCTGTCGAACGCAAACAAAATGCTCTGGCATTCATCCTCTCTCGAAACTGTCCTCCATGGTGGCTGAAGTGATGCCGACAACTGGCCTAGTCAAGGAAGGAATCCTTGCAATGTCCAACTGCCAATTTGTTTTACGAGAAACATGTGGCAAATTGTGACAAACTCAGCATGACCGGATTGCGGAGACTAGGCCTTGTTGGCAAAGGTGGAACATCTGAGGCCTGAGTGCCATAGACTCTGGGGCCAAAGCTATAGTCAAGATCAGTCAACTCAAAAGAAAGTCAGCTTCAGCTAGTGCAAGTACAAATCTGATCCAGCCATGACTTTTTCGTTGTACTTAGGATTGTTCTAACATGTTTTAACACTTGAAGACTGTCCTGTGGAGTACAGTCTCAGTCTATGTATATGCCGCATATGCCTGTCTAGAATGTCCTTGGCCCTGCACATTTCCCATGTCTGGTTTCAAGGCGGTCTGGACCTCAGCAAAGACATAGAGTATAGAGATGTATAGAGATGTACATACTAGTAACTATAAATAGTAGTAGAGTATATAAACGAAAACGACCAAAGGCAACAGCTGAATCGAATTAAAACACTTGTGCACAGCTGCCCATTGCATATCATTCTGGGATTGCGTAACACTCATTACTCATTCATACTGCAATCACTGCAATTCGTATTGCAATTCATATTGCAACAGTCGGTGCAAAACAGATGCAATCTGTGCCAAATCGCTGCTGGTGGTCGCTGCATTGGTGGCCCACCTTGAGCGATTTCAGGCCCGGCACTGTCCAAATGGACGATGACTTGATGGCCCAGGATGGCTCATGCAAGACAAATACAATACAGAAAGAATCCATAAACTCCATGAATATAATATATATATGTATATATATATATGTATATGTATATATTTATATACTTATGTATTTATGTACTTATTTATTTATGCTATTCTTATTATTAGTGTTATTATATTATAATTAATTCTCTTAAATAATGAACAAAAAAAGTTCACCATTTCGCGCAGTTCAAAGCAAATTGAGAGCTTGTAGACGGACTTTGTGTTTTCAAGAGCGCTTCAACGCAAATGGCGCGCAACTTCTCAAGCCCGGCTCTGAAAACAAACCAAAATGAAATATCCCGCAAGTATTTTTGATATTGTTGTTTTGTGGTGTTTTGTTGTGTTTTGGACCTTGTGGGACCTCGTTGGACCTCTCTTTGGGTGATGCGGCCTTCTGTCAAAACATGGCAAGCTCTTTGCATCAATCCGGCAGTCAGCTCTGGGTTCTCTGCTTGGAGGCACTCTCGGTGTCAGCATGCAACTGGCAACATCTTTGGCTCCGATACACTGATGACCAGGAGTGACAGATATGACAGGGAATGGGATGGATTGACCGACCATACCAACTCACAGCTTGTGCGCTGAACTCAGAGCTTGTCTATGCACGGTTCAAATGATTCAGCACTCAAATAGTCAAGACATGCGATTCCTACAGTCAGATCTCAAATACACTGCCTGGCTGCTGGTACTGGTGAAAGCATCAGCGGCACTGCTGGTGGCACCTCACATTTCGATGGACACAAGGGAAAAAACACCCCAAACTACATCTTACTGCCCTACTTCATATGTATCCCGATATCATCTCTAGGCTGACCTCTTAAGAGCCACATTTCTCAATGTCGCGTGTACGCACGTTGTTCACATCCAAATGACTTCAAACGGACTCCAGGATGTGGTGTGATGAATTGTGATGATTAATTAGACACGCAAGACACAAAAATGTATACAGAAGTCACTCCGGCTAAGGGCATCCAAGGACCATGGATTGCCCTGAAGTGACATGAAGTGACTATGGCAGTGATTATGGTGCACCGTGGTGTACCATGGTGTACCACTGAAGTGTGTCTCTGACAAAATGCCACTCCTCGAGCCGCCTGGTTTGCACCCAGCATGGAGCCGGGCTGCGGGTGCACCACCTTTGGCCTCCAGATCTGACGGAAAAACATGGAAAAACCTGATAATTCTTGACATATCTTGACATGCTGAACGTTTCACTCAAGTACACACAGGCAGATATGATATCTATATACGATATCTATATGAGAAATGGTTCATGTTGTTGCATGATTCCCAAGTTGACCTAGTCCAAGTCCAAAATTTGCAAACATGGCCTTGTCATGTTCAGGTCGTTGTGCCAGTTTGCCTCGTTCTAGGAAGAACTGGTCGCTATTGCCAGCTTTGAGAGCAACTTCAACAGTCTCTGCAAACTTCTCTGTTCAGTCAAGTGAACTGCAACGCGAGTGAAGTGCTGAACGGAAATGGTACGGAAGGCAGGGCAGCAGAGTCTAAATGCATGTTCAAAGCTGTGCCGATGCTGGCTGAGCAGTGAGTATTATGCTTGGCAATCTCAGGGCAGCGTGTCCAAAGGCCGTGAAATGATGTGAAATGATTTGACGACACAAATATACACAAATGCCATACATGTTGCCATAAATGTTGTGATTCTGCGCCAAGGTTCCATGGGCGGTTGTAAGCACGGTACCTAAGCTGCTCAAGACACAGAGCTATTCTGATGGACTGTAACCAGCAATTATTGAAAAGAAATGAAAAGAAGATTTGAGATGATTTAAGAAAAATTGACCTAGAACCGTCTAGCGATCCAATCCTCTCCACGAAATTTCAGCAAACATTTGGAAACTTCGACGGAGCTGCAGTCGTAGCCCTCACCATTCAACCGCTAGAGATTCAAGGGCCACGTGCAATGCAATATTAGATATATTAGCATAGAGAAAGAAAGGGACCACGCCGACCACGCGGACAAAAATGCGCAAAACAATTGCCAACAAGGTTGTCTTGGTTGGACGATGTTGGACTTTTTTGGGCCGTGTCTTTTGCCAAAGTGCCGTGGCCATGAGGCTCTGCTGTTGACTGCAATTGAAGCGGCAATACCTCAGAGATCATCTGGGATCAACCAGGGCTAGGAACCAAGGCATGGAATTCGGATGAATTCGCGTCAGGGTCCGGGAAACTCGAAACCTGAAAGGGTGCCTGTACTTTCATGGTTTTGTAGGATCTCTTCAAGATTTTGTCAAGATATGTTTTTCTCATACCTTCCGAAACTGGGATTTGTGGCCAGCATAATAATTAAATACCCTCCATAAGGGCCCGCCGAATGAATATGATTGAATACTACATTTTTTTTAGGCGGGTATCTAATCATATCTAATCTTAGGGGGAAGGAATGGATTGATTTTACCGTCAGTTCAGCTACGTTTCTGGCACAGTTGGCTGTTCGCTGCATTGGAAATGGGTTCAAAAATTGACAGGTGAGTGGACACGTTGAAAAGATGACAGTCAATGGCTTATTCATCCCAAACAGGAATGAACATTAAAATATCTAAAACAACCAGCCAGCTTCACATGATTTTTACATCATATTTTTACAAATTCTGGGCAAATGTTCACCTCAAAAGTCTCCAAACTGAAGGGCGAGAATGAAGATAAACCAGCAAAATGATAATTTGATCCTCCTGTTTGCTGAAAATTCTCGTTGGGTCCAGCAAATGAATTAAGAGGTACACCCCATCTCGGGGCAATAATGGCTTGGATGTGAAACCCTGGTCCGTCCCTAGTAGCACTCCCTCTTTAACCAAAGGACGTTGATCTCCCGTTGGATTTTTTAAATCACAGATTCCCAGGTTCCTAAAGCCTTCAAACATCTTCAAACCATCCAATTCAAAAGTGGTTTGGACCCCAATCATTGACCTTGTCATAAGCTCCAAGTTTAAAACTCTACGATTTGTTTCACTGGATTCTTACGAGACAACGAACTAATGTGCCACACCAAAACACGGCAACTCTATAACAGTCTTGCGGCAGCATTTTGCGCTTGCAACCCAAAGAGGGAAAAAATGTGGAATTTTCTGATTCCAACCATGTGATCTGCACTAATTGAATCTATCTTCAGAATAGGGATCCACCATAGGTTTAGGAGTGTCAAGGATCTGACCCATGCCATGTTCTCATCACTTGCATTCAACACAAGTCAGGAGTCAATTGGTGTTTTCCATATTTCACGGGGATTCAACCCTATATAAAAAGGTGACGCCTCCAAGAAATGGATGGTCAAGATTTGTCCTTATAATCGTTATAAACCCTCCACAAACCCCTGCAATGCCTTTGTTGGCTGAATCCCCACAAATATTCTGTCTCGGAAGATCTGTGCAAGGAAAAAATGATCCTGCTTTTGGCATCTACCCCAAATGGGGAAACTCTGATGTATACTTCGACGATATACATAGCATTTTTTAAATACACAAAACCATACGTTCATGTTAATATGTATGGATGGTCACAGTGTCACATTCATCAAGGACGGGTGGTGCCACAATTTTTGCTTATCCCCACCTGTTTCCGGAACGATGTTGCGCCAGCTCACCAGCCTTGAAACTTCGAGGCTGAGGGATGTGACATCTTTGGTGGTTATCATATTATGATATTACATTATATTCTAAGTTATCAACTAGTTTGCATTATATTCAGTATTATATTTTAAGTGATAGTTTGTATCCTGTTTATATTACATTTTAACTTATGTTGTGTATGAGATCTTGTACTATGTTTCATATATTATATTCTGTATCATATTCTATACTGTGTTATAAAATACAGTTTGAATATTGTAAACATTCTATATTATATTCTAAATATATTTCTAATTGCATTTTCATTATATTACACTATATTGTATTATTGTTTATTTCATCACAACATATATTTATCATGTTTTGTATCATATTAACCCATACAATATTATATCCATACACATATGGGTATGTATAATATATTCGATGATGATTGATGAATGTAACTGATGTTAATCCCATGCCCCCAATATTAAACACCTCCATTTGGTCTCAAATATGTGGTTTCATCCCCTACTAAACCATCGTTTCGCTGGTGTGTTTAATATTTAGGGGAAGGGATTACATCACATATGACATATGTTCAACGATGATTATGTCATATTATATTCATATTATGTATATTATTCAATGACTATACAATTGTACCTGTGGGAATCCCGGAGGCGGATCATGGTTGGCTCAGGGTTGGGTCCCACAGCTCGCCTCGCGGGCCTCGCGGGCCTCGCCATCTCCTGGGTTTCCAGGTGTCATTCTAGATCTATTGAACTTAAAAAATCTTAAAACCCACAATGTCTGTACATGACTGTATGATACTGTATGTATATAGTGATCCTGGAGTCGATAGAAAATGTTTTTTTATGCAAATAGGAAATGTCAAAAACACGTTCTACAATGAGATTATCTTTGAGAATCCCATATTCCATCTACTTCAGGAGAATTATGAATTTGTAGATAACCTATACATGTATCAACTACATACTGCATGTCTAAATTAGCTGCCAGTCACTCATCAACTGGGATGCACATCCATGTACAAAAGCACCGAGTAGTTTTGCGCTAAAGCAAACGAACAGGGCAAGGATGGCAGATGTTTACTGCCATTTCAGAGGCATAGCGAACATTGGCTACCTCCACAAACTAAAAATATCACATGCCTCCTCATTAACACACCATGTCAAGGTTTACCCTGCAATGATTTCATTCATCAATGGCAGTACGTTGGGCACTGCAGTGATTAAGATCATCAACTAATACCCTTCTATCACCTAAACCAACGAGGTTTCTCTCCAAATTTTCGAGGTTCCGAAAACCAAAAAATTAGGGAGACCCAAATAAAAGGGGCATGTCCTAAAACAGGGTGTGCATCTAATAGATTCAGGGACCACATGGACTAAGAATGAAATTAGGGACTAAGAGCGTCACGTCCTTCTCCAGAATATTCGTGCTAAATGCTGCTTGCAATTGACAACTGCAGCCGGTAGCTATAGCTGGTGGAAGAGTTGATCCGGTCAGGGACGCTGGTCAAACACCAAAGTTTTCTCTAAGTTCCTTTTCCCGGATGTGGACGAAAATCACCTTCACTGCGTATTTACAGGACTCCGCCTTTAAAATCCTCGATGGAATATAGGGTGAGCAGCTGTGTACCAGTTTTGTAGGTATGAAATATGGGGTCACGGGTCCCCTAGCTACAAAAAGGTATGCCCAACCCAAAAAGCAGCTCTACAAAATGATGCTGCAGGTACCCCACACATACCCAGGTGGAGCCTACAAAAAGCCACTCGCATTTTTGTTATGGATGTTGAAAACGGATGCAAAAGCGACTAAGATAAGCCCAAGTCTTTTTGTAGTCTCACCCAGTTTGTTTTCGAATCATCTTTGCTCAAAGCCCAGTATGGTATCTAATATGCGTGTCAATTAGTGTGACATCGTGTCATCTAGAGTCAATTAGTGGTGTCAATTCGTATCGATTAGCTTTATTTAGTGGCAAGTAGTGCAATTAGTGACATTTAGTGTCCAATTAGTGTCAATGAATGTTATTTAGTGTTCATTAGGGTCAATTAGGATCACTATGGATCATTTAATTGTGTGTAATAAAAAAACAAAAAGCAACCAAAAAACAACAAATGAAGAGTTCCCACAAAACGTTGCCAAGAGCTGCAATTTGTGTTTTTTACTAGGGTAGGTGCGTTATTTTAGGGAACTAAGCTACGCATATTTGTATAACTCCAAAGACACGGTGTATATATATATATACACAACTCCAAGGACAGAGTCCTGGACTATATATATATATACATACATATGTAACTCCAAGGACAAAGTCCTGGTCTATATATATATATGATTCTATATGAATATACATAACTCCAAGGACAAAGTCCTGGACTATATACGCATAAGTAACTCCAAGGACAAGGTCCTGGTCTATATATATATATACATACATACATAACTCCAAGGACAAAGTCCTGGACTATATATATATATATACATATGTACCTCCAAGGACAAAGTCCTGGTATATATATATATATAACTCCAAGGACAAAGTCCTGGACTACATATGTTTCCTATTAAAAAAAAACGTCCCTGTTCAGGACACTGCCTGTTCGGCAGACTAGTTACTGTTTCGTCATGGTCCTGGCTATAGTATTTATTTTCAAGGACCACATCCTAGTATACATCTGTAGCAATTTACATATATATATATGTTTTTTAATACTTATATATATATTTTATATATATATATATATATCTGTAGTATTAACTACTTATATATCTGGGTTTTATTTCGTGTCGAGCACCTAAAGTACCAAAGTCTGCCCATCCAATTACTGCGCGCTACAAAATGATGAGGCCGCCTCACTTCACTACAAAATGCATGCTGTGATCAACTATTGCATGAAGTTCCAACGACCCTCACGTAAGCATGGTATCTAATATGCGTGTCAATTAGTGTGACATCGTGTCATCTAGAGTCAATTAGTGGTGTCAATTCGTATCGATTAGCTTTCTTTAGTGGCAAGTAGTGCAATTGAGTGTCAATTAGTGACATTTAGTGTCCAATTAGTGTCAATGAATGTTATTTAGTGTTCATTAGGGTCAATTAGGATCACTATGGATCATTTAATTGTGTGTAATAATAAACAAAAAGCAACCAAAAAACAACAAATGAAGAGTTCCCACAAAACGTTGCCAAGAGCTGCAATTTGTTTTTTTTACTAGGGTAGGTGCGTTATTTTAGGGAACTAAGCTGCGCATATTTGTATAACTCCAAAGACACGGTGTATATATATATATACACAACTCCAAGGACAGAGTCCTGGACTATATATATATATAACTCCAAGGACAAAGTCCTGGACTACATATGTTTCCTATTTAAAAAAAAAAAACGTCCCTGTTCAGGACACTGCCTGTTCGGCAGACTAGTTACTGTTTCGTCATGGTCCTGGCTATAGTATTTATTTTCAAGGACCACATCCTAGTATACATCTGTAGCAATTTACATATATATATATATGTGTTTTTTAATACTTATATATATTTATATATATCTGTAGTATTAACTACTTATATATCTGGGTTTTATTTCGTGTCGAGCACCTAAAGTACCAAAGTCTGCCCATCCAATTACTGCGCGCTACAAAATGATGAGGCCGCCTCACTTCACTACAAAATGCATGCTGTGATCAACTATTGCATGAAGTTCCAACGACCCTCATGTAAGCATGGTATCTAATATGCGTGTCAATTAGTGTGACATCGTGTCATCTAGAGTCAATTAGTGGTGTCAATTCGTATCGATTAGCTTTATTTAGTGGCAAGTAGTGCAATTGAGTGTCAATTAGTGACATTTAGTGTCCAATTAGTGTCAATGAATGTTATTTAGTGTTCATTAGGGTCAATTAGGATCACTATGGATCATTTAATTGTGTGTAATAATAAACAAAAAGCAACCAAAACACAACAAATGAAGAGTTCCCACAAAACGTTGCCAAGAGCTGCAATTTGTTTTTTTTACTAGGGTAGGTGCGTTATTTTAGGGAACTAAGCTACGCATATTTGTATAACTCCAAAGACACGGTGTATATATATATATACACAACTCCAAGGACAGAGTCCTGGACTATATATATATATATATATAACTCCAAGGACAAAGTCCTGGACTACATATGTTTCCTATTTAAAAAAAAACGTCCCTGTTCAGGACACTGCCTGTTCGGCAGACTAGTTACTGTTTCGTCATGGTCCTGGCTATAGTATTTATTTTCAACCCCATTTTTTCATCTTATTTTAAGCCTGGCAAGGCCTTGAAACGGGGCACAAGGCCTCCCATTCTGTAGTGGAAATTCGAACGGGGATACTGAGGCTACAAAATGCATTCCCTGATTCTCTTGGGCTGCGTTGTACATTGCATGATTCAGCCACAAAGAGACTACAAAATGCAGTCAGCAATTTATAAGCTGATGTAATATCACATAATCTTCCATTTTCGATTCCACGTTTTGGAGGCCTACAAAAAGCCTATTGTATTTGCCAAACAGGGGGCCTACAAAATGCCTAGGGTAACTTTACTACAAAAAGGGGGGCCCAAGACTAATTTCAGCTACAAAAACCTATCCCCAGACCATTTTATACCGTACACGTGTTCTCCCTTTTTGTAGTGGAAATACCATCGGGGATCCTTTAAAGTTCAATGGTCTCAAACAGACCATAAACATGAGTGAACACAGTTGTGAATGATTGACTTGCATCAAACTCTTGCAAACGTAGCTAGCGCGCAGCTCTTTTAGCTCGAGCAGTGGAAACACTAATTATCACACCCTCCATGGTTCCTTTGTCTGTTTGGTCTAGCAACGCAGACTCCATGGCTCACAGTTGCTAATACCAGCTGGAAGCAAGCAGTGCTCTTGCGTTTTCAAGCACGGTGAGTTGACGGACGGGCAACTGCGTATTCTCAGGGCAATTATCTAGCAGAATCTAGCGTGGATCTACCGCCAGAACTACGTTTAGACTAGCCATTAAAACTTGAACACATATCTTCACAAGTCACGTTTGCGATGCTGGCCAAAAAGAAGGTGAAGCGGCAATGCAGCTCAGAGAGATTTATGAAAAGTAAGGCTACTGTGGAGTTGCCTAAGGAGGACCGGGAACAACAGGTGTGAGAAAGCAAGAGGGAAAGAAAGCATCAGGCCAGACTATGTTTCACTTGAATGGCTATGTAAAAGGACACTAGCGCAAATCTAGCGCTAAGCTGCAGGAAAACAAGTTCACTGCATATATACAGGACTCCGCCTTCTAACAAAGTCTACAATACATCCCTGCCCAAGTACTTATGTCCTTCGGATTGAAAAGTTCCTTATAGGCATTTTAGAGAGGACCTCCCGTATGTTTTCTTAATATTCAACATCCATACGCAATTGAATGACTTTCTTGGCGCATCATTATCACAATTTATGATAATTCATCAACCTGAAATAAGCCTGGGATGATCCCCCTTTTTTCAACCATGATCTATGGTGACCGTCAGCCCACCCCGGCCGCCCCTTAGCTTCGGCTCACGTCCTTGTGGAAGGCAAGTTGAGCAGCGCCGCAGGCCCTCTTCCACCTGAGGTTCAGAACGGATTTCCCAGCACGAATTGTGATCATCAACCAGTTTTGGATGGGATGATCATCCATTTAGTAAAAATAATCGCCAATCATCAATTGTGATAAGCATTAGCCGTATTGTGATAATGGGATATTGTAACCCCACATAATCATCAGTCAACAGGGGGTTAAAACAAAAACCTGTTAAAATGAATATATATATATATATTAGAATAATAATAACGATAATGAAAATAAATAATAATATATAATAATAATAACAATAATAATAATGATAACACTAATAATAATATAATAATATATATACATATGCTTTGAATCCAAACTGGAGTAAATTCGTATAGTAGATGTCCTTTTCCAAGAAAAAATGGTTTCTGAAATTGCCATTTTTTTTTGCTGTGGTATCACCGCTATATCTACGTATACCTCTCTTAATGTGTTGGATTCTGACCGGTCTTCTTCAATACTGGGATCATCCCTCAGCAATCATGTGGTTGGGAAACTCTTAGTCACCCCTTGGTTCCCCATTTCATATCGCCAGCCGGTGACCTGCATCTGCAGAGCTGCCAACGCAGTTTCCGAGAAGTCCTGCCATGTTTTCCAGGTCTCAAAGGTGATGCCAGCAGTAATGGAATTGTAGACTTGAGAGCAACTGAAACAGGAACTTGAATTCTAGAATTATCAACAGGAATCATCATGAAATAGACCATGTAATAACAATAATCGAAGGAAGTTTAGAAGTCAAACTTTCGACAATATGGACACATGAAAAGCAGAGATGGAAAGAGTCAGAGAGAAGAGAAGAGTAGAAGAGAGAAGATCAGAGAAGAGAAAGAGTCAGAAGAAAGAAGATGTAGGTGCGCGAAAAGGTAGGAAAGTCGCGAAACACTGTGTTTTTTCCAATGTTTTGAAGCTCCGGAGGGTCGAAAACTAGGCTCGCTAAAGCGGCGGGTGCGGAGCCATCTGGCCAGATGAGAGATGAAAAATTGCACGCCGTCGTGGCGCGAAGCACATGTCGAAGTCAAAATGTACAAAACACACCATTCCCGGACCACTTTTGGAAGTTGAGAAGTCGAAAAAGTGCACGCCGTTGTGGCGCGAAGCACATTTCCAAGTCAAGATGTACAAAAAACACCATGTTCGGACCACTTTTGGAAGTTGAGATGTCAAAAAAGTGCACGCCGTTGTGGGAAGCACATTTCGAAGTCAAAAGTGTAAAAAAACTCACGGGTACGGAGCACTTTTGGACGTTCAGATGTGCTTTCGCGTGGCAGGCGCAAGGGATTGTGCACCTTGTCAAAAGTGAGCAAAACGTGAGGGTTTTGTTGCATTTCCAAAAGCGATGGCAGGCGTGGGACATTCGAAGAGGATCTTCAAAGATGCATTCCGCATGGCAGGCGCAGTACAAAAAACATGTTCATCAGAGATGTTAGGAGGTCAGGGCGCTGATTTCCTGAGAGGGGTTGCATTTTGGAGCATCAGATCTGTAGGTTTGCTAAGGTGATTTTGCGTGACAGGTGCAGCACTTCGCATGACCTGGCATCAATGTTTCGTGGCAGGCGCAGTACTTTAGACAGGTGGAGTGGAAAAATCGCAAAACGCATTGGCACGAGGCTGTCAGCTCTGCACTCAACTTTCCATTTCTGAAGGAAGTCTCGCAGAGTTCATTTGTTTTGGATGTTGTCAAATTCAAAAATTGAAGAAGTCTCGCAGAATTGCTTCGTCTTGGATGTTGTCCAGTTCAAAAAATGAAGAAGTGTCACGGAATTGCTTCGTTTTTGAGGAAGTCACGCAGAATTATTGCGTTTTTGATGTTGTCAAGTCTGAAAAATGAGGAGGTCACGCAGAATTGCTGTGTTTTTGATGTTGTCAAGTTTGATTATGAGGAAGTCACGCAGAATTGCTGCGTTTCTTGATGTTGTCAACTTTGAAAAATGAAGAAATCTCGCAGAATAGTTCGGTTTTCAAGGTTGCAGATAGACAGGTAGATAGATTGACAGCAGACAGACAGACAGACAGACAGACAGACAGACAGACAGACAGACAGACAGACAGACCGAGAGAGAGAGAGAGAGATAGATAGATAGATAGGTAGACAGACAGACAGACAGACAGATAGATGGGTAGATGGATAGATGGGTAGATGGATAGATGGATAGATGGATAGATGGATAGATGGATAGATGGATGGATAGATAGATAGATAGATAGATAGATAATGATAGATAATGATAGATAATGATAGATAATGATAGATAATGATAGATAATGATAGATAATGATAGATAATGATAGATAGAGAGAGATAGATAGATAGAGAGAGATAGATAGATAGATAGATAGATAGATAGATAGATAGATAGATAGGTAGATAGATAGGTAGATAGATAGATAGGTAGATAGATAGACAGACAGATAGATAGATAGATGGATAGCTGGATAGCTGGATAGCTGGATAGCTGGATAGATGGATAGATGGATAGATGGATAGATGGATAGATGGATGGATGGATGGATGGATGGATGGATAGATAGATAGATAGATAGATAAATAGATAGATAGATAATGATAGATAGGTAGATAGATAGGTAGATAGATAGGTAGATAGATAGGTAGATAGAAAGATAGATAGATAGATCGGTAGGTAGGTAGGTAGATAGTCAGAGAAAGAGAGAAAGAAAGGGAGAAAACCTCAACCACCTGTCGGTCCATCAGTGGCTTCGCTCTGCCATCCGTGATTCACAACAACCAACCTCTCCTATACGTTCCGTATTTTTGAAACTTCCGCCACCGCCTTGTGCGGTACTACTGGTAACAACACAATAAATACTCCCTAAATGGGACTCAACATGAACAAATGCACCCCTTAACCAGAATTTCTGAGGAGGTCTTTGTTGCTCAGAGTTTCAAACCTTTCTGGTGATATATCCCATGTGAAAGGCAAGTAGAAGTCCAAACTCGAGGGCAAGGGGTGAGGGACGAAAGCTAGCTTGGCAGGGTGATGGGCATGAAACGCAGAAGATAGCGCAAGTGTAAGCACAATTTTTGAGAACATATGATTGTTGTCTATTGTTGCACGAAGCAATAGACAAGATCATGACAACTGAGTCGGGAAAATTCAAAGGTCCACCTTCGGCACCGGAGTGGACCTTTGGAAGCGCGGGAAGACGTCACGCAGTGCGAGGCGACATTTTACGACGACAGGGAGATGTGCGCACGCAACATGAAAATGGAGCAAGGCCAAGGTTCCATACAGCGTCAAGTGTGAAAAGGGCAAAGTTGTGAGGGTCTAAAGTCAAGTGTATAGTGGAAAGTGTGAAAGCGTAAACCTTAAATTGTGAGTGCCATGTGTAAAAGTAGAGTGTGGAGTGCCAAGTGTAGAGTGTGAAGTGTAAAGTGTAGAGTGTGGGGTGTAAAGTGTGATAAAATTTAGAGTGTAAAGTGTGGAGTGTAAAGTTGTAAAGTTTAGAGTGTCAACTGTGGCGTGTAAAGTGCGTTAAGAGTTAAGTGTAAACTGTCGAGTGTGGAGTGTGGCGTGTAAAGTGTGGCGTGTAAGTTTAGAGTGTAAAGTGTGGAGTGTAGCAGAGTGCAGAGTGTAGGGGAAAATTCAAAGGTCCACCGTCGGCACAGGAGTGGACCTTTGGAAGCGTGGGAAGAAGTAACGCAGCGAGCAGCGAAAGTTCAGGACGACAGGTAGATGCTGGCACGCAACATGACAATGGAGCTAGGCCAAGGTTCCATACAGTGTCAAGTGTGAAAAGGGCAAAGTTGTGGGGGTCTAACGTGAAGTGTAAAGTGTAAAGTGCGAAAGCGTACAGATTAAAGTGTCAGTGCCACGTGTAAACGTAGAGTGTGGAGTGCCAAGTGTACAGTGTGGGTGTAAAGTGTGGACTGCGGAGTGCGAAGTGTAAAGTGTGAAGCGTAGAGTTTAGTTTAGAGTGTAACGTTTAGTGTGTGAAGTGTGGCGTGTAAAGTGCATTAACAGGTAAGTGTAACATGTCGATTATGGAGTGTAACGTGTAAGATGCGGAGTGTAAAGTTTAGCGCGTAAAGTGTGGACTCCAGAGTGCGAAGTGTAGAGGGTGGATACCAATGATCGTGCCCGGGAGGGGTTGAGCCCACGACCAAACTGCTTGTGAAAGGAGCGGGTTTTTTTTACTGAGAAGTTTCTCGCGATTGGAGATTCCATCCCCCCAATACCTTGCTAAAGCAAGAGGGACTTCAGCTAGCAGAAGCTAGCTTTTGTGAAATACACTTTACTCTGAAATGCCGCAATCAAACATTGATGTCTCACTATGGAAAGCCACACAACACCCAAGCTTTGGAGCTCCAAGACCGAATAAATGCTGCGACTCGGGGTGCCCTGGGTCGAACATTTCACTTGGACTCCGGAAATCACCCATTTTCCAATGGTGACATCTCCTGATCTTGTTGGTGGAATCCTCATTTCTTTGGCTCAATTCCACTCCTTTTGATTCCCTTTGTTGGCTTTTTGGCTACATTCTGCTTAGAAATCCTCTTAAAATCTCAAATCTCTTGGTTCATCAATCCCCAAATCTAATTATAAATCCATATAAATCCTCTCAAATCCCCCAAATCTCTTGGTTCATTCACACCTCCTTTTGTATTTTTCCCCTTTTTCCACCGGCACACGGCTCACTGCGAAAAACCGCCTGCCGCTCTTCCAACTTCCGGAGCCGCGCGTCCGTCGAGGACTCGGGTCTCAACTGCAACCTGCAAGGCGAGAACCGACTTTAACCATCAAACGGGCGGTCCAACATGGTCCAACCATCAAAAAAACATTTAAAAAAAACTAAGGCAGGTTATCACTTAATATCACTTATTAGAACCATCGAAAATGTAATGAGAGTAGTAGGGGATTGTACTCGATCACAATCCCATCCACTTCAAAACTGGTGTTGAACCCCAAAAATTGGGTTACCTTCAAAAATAGACGTATAAGCAACAATTAGCGGGAATTTGGAATTTCCCCTAAATAAAAAGGACTTAACATCATCAAGAATCTAGGGTTCAACATAATTCAACCGTCCTGAATTTCAACATATTTCAACAGATTTCAACAGATTCATCAAATTCTTACAGTAACTGACTCAGTGACTCAGTGCGAGGTTTGCAGCCGAGATTCAGCTGCTGATTGCAGCGGCAGAAATGCGGAGGGTTCCCATGCGGAGTCGGCTGCAGCGGGCGTGTCTGGGCCTGGGCTGCCTGCATTGGAAGTTCTGCCTAAGTCCACGTATGTCCACGCGCTGAGGCGAGCTTTTTGGAATTTTAAATGAATGAAAACATGGGTTCATAGTGTTTAAAGTTTATAACATGAACGTCAACGGATGGATAGGGCAGGTAGGTGTTGAACAAAGATGCACTGTCAGAAAGCAGCGTTTCTTCTGAAACATTTGCGCTTGGTGGGATGGGCAATGAGGTGATTAAACCATGTCATCTCATCCATCACTGTATGCCAACATTGACAACACAGAGCAAAGGTCTGGTAGCAGTAGAAGGACGAGTAGGGGGAATTGTTGCAGCCGCAGCAGCAGGAGCATCAGCAGGAGCATCAGCAGCAGGAGCAGTAGCAGCAGGAGCAGTGGCATAGTTTCAGCATGTTTCAGCAGTAGGTGAACTTGAAACAGGATGTTCATGGATTTTCGAGGTACAGTACACTCTCTCAGCGTGAAAGGCAATGAAAAGCAGGAATCCTCTGAGAACCTTTTGCCCAACATCATCCAACACATGATCCAATATATTCTAAATATATTCCAATATCATCAATATCCATCAATATCAGAATCTAAAATGGACCTGGCATGACCTGGCCTAGAAAATGACCCAGTGCCAAGGTGCTGGAGCTTCACATTGACGAAATCGACATTGCTCGATGCTCTAAGCCTTCTGCATCTCTACACACGTTGAATTCTCTGATTGTTCTCTGTTGAGCCATGTTGAGCCCATTCCTGACACCGACAAAGACCGACGAGGTGATTTTCTGTCATCCTTTTAGCTGCTTATGCCTGCGGCAAACAACTTGCTTTTTACGGCTTTAGCCGTTAGCCAACTGGGAGAACTTCAATGCTCTGCTTAACTGGTTTGTGTGTGGTCTCACTATCACTAGCTTCTTGCCACCTTTGGACACTGAAGCTGCAAGACTGGATGATCTGATGCCGTTCACAAAACACCGGAGGATAAAGAAACAAATGGCCAGATATGGCCAGCAATCGCAAACCTGGACACAATCCATTCTTCAGGCACTTGCTGCGCGACAGCTTGTGGTTGCCTCATGAAAAGAACGGCTATCTGTTTGCATTCCATTGCATTCCCAGTGCCATTCCCATATCCCCACGCCTTTCTTCGCAAGGATTCCAGCTCCAACTTGGCCGAAGACCTTAAAATTTTGAAAACGGAAGGGCAGAAATGTGTCCAACCTGTGCGGATTCTGTGCAAGAGCTACGAAGATGCTGACACATCACACTTCATCGCATGTCTGGTTTGACCAGTGCTAAATTTTTGCAAACTTGACCTCGTCTTTTGACATCTTTTGAAGCTGGATGTGCTCACGACCGGGACATAAGCACGGGGCAAGGCTCGTTCAGCATTTTGGAGTTTCAGTTCCTTCGCAGAGCAACTGCACACCACGTATATTCTCATTTTACTTATATAAGTCAGGCCAAGACTCTTCCAAAGGTCACTGAATTATCAGTAAATTGTCAATCAATGGGGTGATCTAACTGGATTTTAATTAAGTTTAAATTAATTTCTGAAATTGTCTACTTAATACATAGACTCGAAGCTAACATGTCCGTGTCAATCCAATTGATACCTAATTACGTGGAGTGCAGAGGAGTGAACACCGACTGTAACATTCCGGAACTATGAGAATTCCCTACACTATCTGATTATCTACATCTATTCACACTGAATCAACACTGAATCGACACTGCGGGAGCGCTCCTCTGCTTGTGCCCTGCTTTCTGCTTGACGAATCTTGCGGCTCACCTGAAGGCCACGAAGCAAGGCACAAAGAGCAACGATGTGGGAGAAATATGGAGAAATTGGATGAAATTGGATGAAAGATGATGAAAGCGCGGGAGAATACGCACATCGTACGGCAAAGCCTCAAAGCCTCAAAGCATCTGTCAGCTTTGGCACTTTTCCCTTTTCATCTCCCATCATCTCCCAGATCTCGGCTTTGTGCCTCCAACTGAACATCGCGTTCATGTCGTTGCAGACTTGCTTTGGCTTGCTTCTGCTCTTGCACTACGGCCTTAAACCCCAAAACGAGCCAAGAGCAAAGAGAATTCCTGAAAAATATTGACATCAAGATAATCGAATAAAGACGAAGAGGGACATGTGCGAAACCATCTCTCTCGAAATGGCTTTCATAGTTCTCACTTGCCTGTCATGGTTTCCAGCAGGCTTCTTCATTTTATATTTGCACCAGTATGCACATATATGCAGACTACATATTTGTATCTTTCTTTTATTTTGTTTTGCTCTTGCAGCCAATCGACTCTTTGCAAAGATTCCAATTCGACTTTGGCGGCTGCTGCTTTGTCTTCAGCAGCTGCCACCCGTACCCGACCAGCTTGATCCTTGCTCAACATTGTTTCAACATTGTTCAAATATGTTCAAATTCAATCAAACATTGTTCAAACATAATCAAACAATCAAATCCATGCAATTTATGATTTCTGCCTTGGAATCTGTGGCACAGATCTGCAAGATTCTGCACTGAGCAAATCCTTGCGGTCATCTCTCTGCCCTTGCGACACTCCTGTGCTACGCACTCCATTTCGAGTACGCAAATAGTGTTGACAGCATCACCCACCTGAGCGAAATCACTTGACGAAAGTCCGTTGATCTCGATATCAGCAGACGTGTGCGCTTTCAGTCACTATCTCTGCAGTCAATGTGGCAGAGGTTGGCGTCGCAAGCATTGGGTTTGGCTGTTCTATTGATGTATCGTAAAGCAACAAAGCTGTACACTCATGAACAATCGAATGCAGCACATCGTACAACTACAACAGCAGCTTGACACTTTCAGGGTTCAAGACTTGTTGTGGCTGGCGCATGATCATTTTGATCATTCTCAATCATTTTGAATCATTCCCACTGAACTGAAGTGGCCAAGTTGAAGAATCGAGTGAGACCTTCACTGATCTGAGGGGAGAGCAAGCAGCCCAGGCATGGGAATGGTACGCATATCACTGCTGGTTCTCAAATCCATGCTGTGCAACATTGAGGAAGCAAAACAAAAACAGTACAGATCTGTCCTGAACTCAAACACTTGGGGCCAAAGTAGTTGCCACATCTTGCCACCAAGAATGTACTGATCAAAGCGTCCTTCTGGCACAGAAAATGTCGTTTGCTCACGTTTTTTCACCTCATGACCTATGAAGCTCATGGATGCTCATGGTATCTCATGTTCAAGACTCGAGCTGAAAAAGTGCAGCGGGATCGGTTGCAACGCCAAAGGGGTGCTGAACCAGGAACGGGATGAACACCAGGATCGAGGGACTGACCGAAATTCAGAGACATAGAGCTGAAATGAGCTGAACATGCTGAAATATGCTGAAATGGCAGTTTTGAAATGGTTTGAATTTTGAACATGTGGGATTTGGAGAACAGTTCCAGATCAAACCACACATCTGAGACCTTTTTGAGCACAGCGTGTCTTTGTGGCTGCACTTGTGGTCGTTTTCAGGGTTGGTGTGCGTTTGTTGTGTGTGTGCGTCCTGTCATTCTATTTCTATGCTCAATCTCAGATCATCTATAAGCGCTCTAATCTAGCATTGATGAGCATGTGAATGTGAACACTCTTGTGCCACCTGGTCACTGTCCATTTTAGAGTCCATTTTACAGGTTCCTGGTTTTGCTCTCTGGCTGGTATGTACATGTATGAAGGTGAGACTAAAGCCATGCAGGCTCATGCCATGCGAGTATATGTAGTGCAAAAGCAATAGATTTCCATGACGCATAGGATGGGAGACTACAAGTCTTGCCAGGAATCTTCTACTGGTTTCACAAATCTTTCAATCTTGTACCACTCCGTCGAGGTTTGGGTTGCAAGAGCCTTTGCCCTGCCGTCACTACGGAGCTCTCTGACCTTTCTTGATCTTCATGACGCTGCGAAGCTTGTCGATGGCCCTGCGACATGCACAACATGTTTCAAAAACGAATCATAGCACTATCTGCTGGATTGACACTGCCACCAAACAATGCTGCTTGGGTCCCAAGAAGCAAAGAGTAGCACACAGGCACACAGTTCCAGTCATATATTGATTCATTCTTTATAGAGCAATATCAAAGAATCTGTGGGAAATAAGGCCGAGAAATACTGAAGATGTTCCATATATATATAGTGATGTATCTTTAAAGGATGCTTTTGTCAAAGGGAAGCTACTTCTGTAATTAAAGGAATATGAAACACCTCGTTGTGTCCGTGAAAAGATTCATGCTACATAGTTTGAAAACCGTTTCTTCAAAAAAAAACTGCACTTATTTCGCAAACTAGAACGTTTCTTCAACGAATACGACATTTTTCGAACATCAAGGAAATGCACTTGAAATGTGCGTATATTTGCTTGAAGGAGGGAACTTTGCTTGAACAGACCAGAGAGAAAGAGATTGTGAAATATGCGTTTGATGAAAAGATGTTACCTCAGATGCAAGATGGCGACTTACAAACAAATCCTACACCATCTCCTACAACTTACATCGACTTACTAGGTGACTTACTAAGTGACTTACTAAGTGACTTATTACATATTCTGATTTATCCTTCCTCAGTCCGCTCCCGTTGGCACCTCTTCGCCTGCGTGATTTGCCACTTCGCCTTACCCTCCGTGATTCCACCCAAGCCATCCTGCGGCAGGAAATACTTTTAAGAGCTTTTTTAAGAGCTTTTATAAGAGCTTTTAAGATCTTTTAAGACTTAAATGTCAACATATTGGTCAACGCATTCAGTATGCTATTTTCAACCATCGCAAACCAAGTCTGGGAAAGCGTAAAAGGACTCTCAGGGGTGCATTCAGTCATTTTCAATGATTTTGGTGCATCCAGTGCTACTGTACAGTATCATGTTCACTCATTCAACTGCATTCTGATGCAGTCTGCCGCACTCTGGAGTTTTAATCCAATCAAAGAGCTCGCCAGTAACTTGTAACGCTTTTCCGGTCCTTGAACTGCTCACTGTACGAGGACCTGTAAACGTCAATATGACTCGAAAGACCTGCCACAGTCGAGTGCAGGGTATGTCTTTCACAGTCCAAGTTTTTGAGATAGTTTGAGCATGTTTGAGCTTTCACCTCGCCAACGCTGAGATGTTGCTTCTGGTAGTTGCAAGCTGTCGTATTCGGACCAGAAAGTCCCGAGTCCTGTATCCTCAAAGAATCTCCACCAAAATGGCACCAAAACGCGCTTAGTAGATTTAGTAGATTTAGTAGCGAGACCAATCCATTTCAATGTAAACACATTAAACTACGCAGTCTGTGTACGGTGTGTGCGGGAGAAGACTGTGGCTTTAGGAGCAATGCAATGGCCGCAGCTCGACGGCTCTTTTTCCAAAAGCATCCAAAAGCAAATAACTCTTACTGGATGCGAAACGAAGTGTGGTCAGGACTTTGATTCTACGAGATTCTACGAGTTCCGAATGGTGAGCAGCGAAATGAAACTAATCTTAGCATATCTCAGCTTGCTTCAGACTTTGTGCGCTCCACTTTAGCCTGACAGGGCAGATGTATTTTTTTTAATTTTGTATATTATTTGCAACCGACAGGGCGAGCTAAGATCTTCTCTATCCATCAGGCTAGAGGAAAACTCTGTGAAAGCAAATGAAGTGAAACCAATGAAGCTAATGAAGCAACTCAAACTCTTCGGGTTTCTTTCTGCCACTCGTTCTGCCTTCGCCCGGTTTTGGAACATGACATGTGAAGACTTCGAGTTGTGACATCCTCGAAGAATCATCCGACATCTGACTGTCCAAGGCCCAGTCCAAGGCTTTTGCGTCTTGAGCGATCTCACTGGTTGGCCCCCGCGCCTGGAGACGTGTGACATCGTGTGACATCTTCGCATCTGCGGACGTCTGCGGATACTAATGATAATATGATTCTATAAATTTATAATATGATGATATGTATATAATATAGTATTATATAATATGATATCATATGTAATGTGTTATAATACGATTACGGGACATGTGAATATAACATGATAACCCCATATACATGCAGACTTTCAACTTTCTGAGCCGAGAGTTGCCAAATGCTCAGCCAAGTTTTTTGGCTGTGGCTTTAGAAGTTCCCATAGACAATAAACCTTTACAAAAATTATTTTACGCGCCTTGCTGAAGAAGTCATATGCCTCGCATGAAACCAGACCCATTTTCCGTTTTGATGCTTTTTGCAAGAGATGCAAGGAGATGCAACGAGTACGTGCCCAGCCTTCTCTGCCCAACTTCTTGCTTGTTGAGGGTCAGAAAGGGTTTCGCAATGCCGTACAGCCTTGAAATCACACGTCCAGCGGTACAGGGCGCGCTTCATCACAGCATTTTACAGCATTAAGATATATTAAGATGCATTGACAGATGCATTAACAGCATACATACAGCATACATGTTCACTACATGTTCAGTGCAGCCAGGCTGGTGCCTCTGTGCATGCAAGGCCTCGCAGCATCAAGTCTGGCACACCTGCCAGCTTTTTTTAATCAATATAAATGTCACATAAATCATTCAAGAAATTTCAAGAATAACCAGAATAACAAAATCCAAAATGTCTCAAGAGGTCTCCAGCAGTAAGACACAATCAATGTCAACAAAAATTGAACAACGACTGGAGGCACACCGCGGCGCCACTACAATCATACGTTTCCTACCTGCCTTCATCATCGAGTAGCTGCAACACGCGCTTGGCCATTTCCACGCCGTCAGCCGGTTGGGCAGCTGCAAGATTTTCTTGCAGCCTACCAGAAATTAACGGCAATCTTACGGCAAGGTTCGGAACAATTCCCTGGTAGACAGCTTTCTGCCAGGTGTGGAAATTCATTGACAATATTGACAATATTGACAATTTGGATTTTCCTGGCTTTTCTTGATTGCGACGTTTTGCAATTGCTTTCATGGCCTTGCAATTTCGGTGCGGCGAGCATCGCTGGTCTCAATGTCGGTGTGGCAGCATGCAGGACAGCTGCAAAGGAAGCCGTACCTGAGCGCTGGCCACAGGTCAGGGTTTACCAATTTGAAGCAGAATTCAGACCCAAAATCGACCAATTCTACAAACATGTTTTGTTATGCCGGCTTGAAAATGCATAGTGCCTGTAAACTCGGACTCTGCCATGCTATGCCATGATGCTTTGCCCGCAAAACCTCACGTCGCTTGTCCCGTGGCTCGCGCAAATCGCAATAGGTGATACCTGGGATCCAGAAGGGTTAGGAGTTGCAGATGGGGCGGGTACATTTCTTGCCTCTCTAATAATATCTAATAATATTTGGAACGAAAACGAAGCTAAGCACTCTCTCTGTCTCTCTCTTTTTCTTTGGCCTGGCCACTTGAAAGATTGAGCAAGTGCAGCAGAGTTGGATGATCTTGGATTTTAGATTTTAGATATGATTATGATATGATGAAATAGTATGAAATATTATGAAATATGTTTGGGGAATCAAAGTGAACAAACTGCCACGCAGTACCAGGTAAATTCGGATTTACATAGTGTCACAGGGTGGAAATGATTCGACAAAGATCTGTGCTCTCAGTGAAACTCGTCGAGGGACAAAGCTCTTCACCTGGCTGAATCTTTGTCATGGCATAGAGCTTTTCTTGACCTGAAACTCTGCACCCATTGGATCAAAAGGGTCAAAAGGCTCAAAAGGGTTAGCTTTTTAAGATTCTTTAAGGATACGCTTCTCCAGAGCCAAGTCTCCTGATTCTTCATCCCAGGATTGTTGGCAATTTGGTGAACAGGAATGGTTCAGCCTGCAGCGAAGGTGTCTGTCAATGGCCATGCGTGGCAGATCGTGGCAGACTCGTTGTACAACGTGAAAGCTGTCCATGCGAAACTCAAGAGACGTGGCGCATTCTGGCCTGGCCAAGACTGGGCACAACAGGAGCGTTGATGAGCTTGAACTAGCTCCTGCAAAGTGATGTCCAACTGTACAACATTGATGTATAAGTCCAAAGTTGTCCGCCTTAAATGATGTTAATGCCGTTGTACGATGCCATGTGATGCGATCAATGTATCGGAGCAGCCTCTGGAGAAGCCGTTGGTCCGTAAAATTCCCATCCTCGGCTCGGGATGAAAATCCCAGATTCAACCAGATTCAAACATGTTGCTGAACGGTTCTAAACGCTCAGAAGTTCAGCATTTTGGTTGAGTCAAATGATTCATCTTTCACCAGGACAGTGTGATGCTGATGCAGCTGCAAGTCATTGTCTTCTCACCAGATGAGCAGTCGCTCAGACCTGCCAAGAATAGACAGAGACAAAGACTTTGAACTTGTCATAAACCCAGTGCGACGGTACCAGGATGTAGCACACACTTTTCCCATCTTTTCCCATGTCTGAGATATTCTGAGACTGTCATAGACTGTCTATTTCCATGCAGAATATCTTGCTCTGGAAATCAAATAAGAGGAGCGAATTCCTGGTGTTGTGCTCAAGTTTGCCTTCTGCCCACGGAAGTCCGTGCACTGCGCCTTTGAGCTGATCCTGTTCTTCCGAGGACAGCTGCTCATATTGTTCTTGGAGTTCCTCTGGCATGCCAAGCTCCCGCCTCACGAATGTCACGAGTGGCACGAGGTTCAGACATGTTCAAATTCTCGCGACCAATATCCTGATATCATTGATATATCATGATGTTTGTAGAGATCGTAGAGGGTCGCTGTACTTGCGATTGTGAGTCTTTAGTGTCTACTCTGGCGGGCTCTCCCAGGCATCCCGAGCGGTCATTATTATTGTGGCGGTGAGTCTCATGTTCAGAAAGTGGAGGCAAGAAGCAGTAAGCCAAGCTGATCTCGAAAAATTGTGATCTCTGTCTTCAACGTGCTTTGAATCAAAGTCAATCAAAGTCAGCTTATGCACATCTCTGGGGTCTGTCATTGCAAGCCATTTTCAAACATTACGCCAAGGACTATGTGATTCGCCTGATAAAGATTGATGAAGTACATATCCTTTTGTGTCTTCAGGAGTTGAACAATGACAAGTTTAGATATGCTTAGTCAAGCTTTTCAAGCAGTGTATCTGTCTACGACTTCTAGCGATGTCTTGCAACATCTGGCCTCCGCAAAGCAAAAGCAGCAGCTGCAGCCAAAGGCAAAGGGGTGAAGCCGACTGGCAACAGTGATGCGAACAAACGACATTCTTCGTCTCTGAAACTCAACAGGCTTGTCAAAGCGGCTTGTCAGCTTGCTTCGAAACAGCTTTGAATCTGAAATGATCTGTTTGGATGTACAACTCAGCAAGGCAAGCCTGCGTTGAAAGCGACCAATAGGAACACTGAGAGAAGCACGGCAATCGCTGCCTTGAAACAGCCAGATTGTGCAGCATGATAGCTAAAAGCAGCTACAAGCAGCTACATTGCCTTCTCTCTGACATTGCCTTCTCTGGAATACATTCGGCTTTCAAAACTTTTTATGTTCATCCAAAATGCCACCAAATTCAGCAGCTGCGTCTTAGTAGCATCCTGAAGCGAAAGCAGCTTGCCCAGCTGGCCCGGCTGTTTTGCTTTTTTGATATATCTTTCCTTTGAATCAATTTGATAGATTTTGTCATGAACATGCCTTGGACAAAAATTGTGAAGCATTTTGAAATGTTTAGGCTCCTCAACGTTCCACATGATGAGAGGAGCTTCTTGGTATACCAAATCTCCCGCATCAAACGTCTTCTCAGCCACCACTCCGAAGCCCTGGTATTTTACATGTTGTGCGTTCGAGCATAGCAAATCAACATCATTCAACCATATTCAACGTGGTCCAGTGTGGCTCAATAATCTTGATTGGAAAGCTTGTGCAACGTTCACTCTCTGTAACTCTCCGTGACTCTCCGTGCTCTTTCCTCGTCTTCCTCTTCCTCTGGGATATTCCGGACATGTCTGAGAAGGAACTTGGAATAATTTGGATACTGTAACGCCCGGAAGTTTCTGTCGTCACCTTGCCATCCATGGGCACCACACGAAAGCCGGAGCTTCCGGTCCAGCCAGGATCAGGCCAGAAGCCTATACTGATCAAACCTGGCGAAAAGTGCAAAAATGTGCAAAATATGGTGCGGAGATGATTTCAGGCACTCAAAAATATGGCTGATCCGAATCATATGTGGCATGGCCAGTGAATCAAGCCATCAGGCAGTTTCGTGTTTTGAACCTGCCTAAAATGGGCAGAATTCTCCGTCTCATGGCTTTGAGGACGCAAGGCGGGCACTTTGGCCCTTCAGAGACTGAGACTCCGGTAATTGCGTAGTATGACTTCACAGCATGTTGCTTGTTGAGCACACCATTAAAAAATACATATGGAAGCTTCAAGGAAAGATGACTGATCCTGAAAAGTGGAGCTGGCATAGTTGAGCTGGTGGACACAAGTCTTGAGAGTGAGCCTTCAGCTGGTCAGCCGGCTAGTTCACCCTTCGTGCTGCACAAACAACACGCTTGGAGGTAAAACAAATAGTTCACAATACTCAATAGTAGTATTAAATATAGTAACATTATGTAATATTATATGGTAATCAGTAATCTATAGATTCATCTAGTATTTCTAGACATCCAGCTGTCCCAATCTGCTTGTACAAGTCGGAACTACGCAGTGCATCCCAGTGCCTGGCGTATGCCGCCGCGCGGCAACACGCATGGTGCTCATGACGGCGCTCGCTGCACCTTCCAACATCTGAAAGCTAAGGGCGAACAGCTGCACAGGCGCCAAGAATATATGATAAAGTCATATATAAAGTCTACTAAACATGTCCGAAAGCATCATCTTAAAGATCTCTGAGCCTTGTTTTAGAGCTTGCCCAAGGGATGTTTGCTGTAGACAAATCTAATGTCACATAGTGTCATGACGTAGCCCCTGTGTAACAACTGCGTAACCACTATGTAGTCACTGTGATCATTACACAGTCTGATGTTCTCTGCGCAGCTAAACTTTGGCCTGGCACGAAGATCAGGAGGGGAACCGCCCACAAGGACAGGCCTGGCAACGCTGCTCGCGGATTCCAAAACATGTGACCGAATGTGATCCAAAATACCCAAATATTACATAATATTACATGCGAAATTGCATCAAGATAGATCAAATCGTGGACCATGCATATGCCACATATGCCAAGTCAGTCTTGGGTTTGTACTCATCTCATCCTGGAGCAATCTAAGTGTCTCCAAATGTGTTCATTGGTACTCGGCAATTTGGATATGCAGATCAGACAGGTTGAGAACAATCCACACAGATTCTGCACGAAGACGAAGGGACTTGCACATGTAACTTGCGAATGCAAATGGCAATCATGATTCAAAATCCCTGTTGTCTAACTGCTGTTTTGCCCCATTGCTTGTTTGCACCAGGCATGGCCTTCTGAAAGCCCTCCAAGCCGGCTAGGGCCTTACACAGTTCCACACAAGGACAAAGGCGGAGAAAGAATTTGGATTCAACGGAATCTCATGGCTAACATGGCTAGCTTCTCCGCACTGTTTTGTCTCAAAAAACTAGCAGCCCAAAGGCTTTGTCACGTTTAAGTGCTCTACACCACTTGGTGGTGTTTCAGGGGCAAGCTTTCGGACTTGGGAATCGTTTGCCTATACCTGGATGACTCAGCCTGTCGGCATGCCTTCGGTTGCATAATCAATAAAATATAAATATACTATAATAGTATATAAATGTATATAATAGTATCAAACGGATTGGTTTTGATTTGCAACGATTGACAATAGGAATGAGTCACAGAGAGTAGCAACGATTCCGGATGAAGGATGCGTGTTGACTCCATCTTCTAATACGATGGAAGCATTCCGGAAATGCATTGGGCTTTGCTCTCACAGCAGATCGCTATATATATCATATATATATATATGATTTTATTCACTGCAACCCGTTGTAATCAAAAGAAAACAAGAACGGCAGCCTTGGCTGGAACTTTCGATGTACTGCTGTCAGTCTCAGCCAATTTCCTGCCTTAAAACTGGCTTAACGCAGACTTTGGCGTGTCCGAATCAAGGCTTGGATGATTCAAGTCTGTTTGGCATTCGTACAAAGCAGCAAGGTCATCAGCAAGATCTTCAACATCTAAATCTTGCTCTACAGCATAAGTCACGATGTGCTCCACGTCAACCTCGTCATATTCAGCATATTCACCATACTCACCATGTTCACCTTCCTCGTTCTCCTGCACATCATCCACCTCCACAAACCTGGGCAAAGCTCTGCGAACAAGATTCAGTATATTCAACATATAATCAACATATCCAAACAACATATCCAAACAGAATGTTTTGATCACAATTGTCCAAATTTCATCTTAGATATCTTAGAAGATATTAGAAGATATTAGAAGATATTAGAAGATATTAGAATATATTAGAATATAATAGAATATATTAGAATATATTAGAATATGTTAGGACATATTAGAATATATTCGAATATATTAAACATATTAAACAAATTCACATGAAGTGGACGCAATTCAAAAGAATTCAAAAGAGTCAAGCGGCTCCACGATCTTTTTCTTTGACTTTTTTGACTTCTTCTTCTTCTTTTTCTTCTTCCTGGGCTTCACTTCGAACGAGATTTCGATTCAAGATGATTCAAGATAAATATCAACAAGTTATGTTGCTTCATATTGTTGATGTTGTTTCGGTGTGTAGTGGGGTGCTTTATGGATTTCACAAAACCACCACTTTCTGAGACCGACTCCCCTGGGCTTGCAAGGATTGCTCACAACATTGGGCTCACAGAACCTGCGAACCATTGTGAACCTGCCTGTCTTTAGACGTCTTTAGGACCTGTGCCAAGATGCTTCTTTTTCTTCTTGAAGCCACCTGGGGGCAATCTGACTCTGATGCCCTCAAGTCGGTCTGTAAAAACTTATGTGTGCAGTTTGTGTGTACAAGGTTCTCTGTGTCAAGTGTTTTTTGTGTAGAAAAAACAACTGTTCTGTGCAAAGGTTTCTCTGTGGAAAAGGTTCTGTGTGTAAAAACGCCTATGTGCCTTTATCATCCTTTATCTATGTGCACAAAAGCATCTTTGTAAAAAACATCTGTGTGTAAATACTTCCTTCTTTGCGTAAAAACCTCTATGTGTAAAGGTGTCTGTGCACAAAAGTTTTTTGTGCGCAAGCCTCTCTGTAAGAATATATGCGCGTAAAAACTGCTCTGTGTAAAGGTTTCTGTGCGTAACGTCGTCTGTTTGTAGAAACGTATCGGTGCAAAATGCGTCACCGCAGCCAAAGCGAAAAAAAATAACAAAAGAATCCAAGATCAAATGCTTGATGTCGTTACCGTTGTTGGTGATGGCGATGATGCGCGCCGGGCCCCACAAGGCGTCATTTGGGCTGTCTTAAGTCAATGCTTGAAAGCCTTCGGAAGAAATTACTTTCTTCGAGTGATCCCCACCAGGTGACACTTTTGTGACATATTTTCTGACATGCTATCTGGCATTCGCATTTTATCTGATATATTTTCTGCAATTCTTTCTGGCATTCTATCTGGTATATCTTCGGAGATTCTTTGTGGTTGAGGTCCGGCGGGCAAAACTCTGATGATAAAATTCGATGTTGATGTTGTTGTTGTTGTTCTTCTTCTTGTTGTTCTTGTTGTTCTTGTTGTTCTTGTTGTTCTTGTTCTTCTTGTTCTTCTTGTTCTTCTTGCTATTCTTGCTATTCTTGTTCTTCTTGTTCTTCTTGTTCTTCTTGTTCTTCTTGTTCTTCTTGTTCTTCTTGTTCTTCTTGTTCTTCTTGTTCTTCTTGTTCTTCTTGTTCTTCTTGTGCTTCTTGTTCTTCTTGTTCTTCTTGTTCTTCTTGTTCTTCTTGTTCTTCTTGTTCTTCTTGTTCTTCTTGTTCTTCTTGTTCTTCTTGTTCTTCTTGTTCTTCTTGTTCTTCTTGTTCTTCTTGTTCTTCTTGTTCTTGTTCTTGTTCTTGTTCTTATTCTTGTTCTTGTTCTTGTTCTTGCTGTTGCTGTTGTTGCTGTTGTTGTTGTTGTTGTTGTTGCCGCTGTTACCCGTGCAGCTTTCTTCTCAGTCCCGTAGTGGCCGAAAATCGTCAAATAGGTGGTGTTTTAACGTTTGTTTGCAGCTCTCGGAGCAAAAAACACCGTAAATACTGATGTGTTTTGCGCCTCGGCAGCCCAAAACCACGGTATTTACGATGTTGTTTGCCTCTGGTAACAAAAACAACGGTATTTACAGTGTTTTTTGGCCAGTGCCTAGCAAAAACACTGGTATTTACTTTACGCAGTTTTCAGCATGTTGCAAGAAGTACTTTTTCCATGCCAAAGGCACAAAAACACTGTAAATTACAGTGTTTAGGGTCTGCTCTTAGGGTTCGTGGAGGGGGTGGAGGGGGGGGGTCCTGAAATGAACAGCAATCGCCTGAATAATCAGGTAACTGGCTGGCCAGCCTCCCCTTTACTTCGTAAAGCTAAACTCAAGGTAACACCACTGGAGCTACCTTTCGTGATCTGGTTAATGCTTCCGTGGCACTTGGTAGAAACTGCTCCAGCTGCGCTGCCAAAGTCCTTAGTTGTCCAGTTGCTTAGGGACTGGTCACTCAAGTCCACTCAAGTCTGTAGGAAAGAGCATTGTGTGGGCGTTTTTCACCCATGCATTCAATAGCTTCATTGTAAGTGCAGTGCTCGTAGCATAGTTTATCAACATCTCACACCTTCCTATGACATCACGCAACACCATATGAATAGACACCACAGTCATTTATTCTGTGCCAGGATCAAATCTTTGTGATGAGGAGATTGTCACGCCACATTTCAGAGGATTCTTTCTGAAGGGCATATACATGCACACATGTACAGGCGTCTGACAGGCGTCTGACAGGCGTCTGACAGGCGTCTGACAGGCGTCTGACAGGCGTCTGACAGGCGTCTCTAGTATGTGCATACTTATCTTATAAACACACAGTGTAGACATTTACACACACACACACCCCTACACATGCATATTTGCTACCGACCAAAACATATCTGTTCTAGTTTTTCCCCACCTGCCAGGTGAGGGTTGTTAGATTTTATGTCAGTTGCCTCCTCCTCCTGCCTCGTCCTCCTCTCCTCCTCCTCTCCTCCTCCTCCTCGTCGTCCTCCTCGTCCTCCTCGTCCTCCTCGTCCTCCTCCTGCTCCACTGCGATCCATGTCAGTGTGCCCTGCCGGACCTCAACCACGACCATCCACGTCAGTGTGCCCTGCCGGACCTCAACCACGACCATCCACGCCCAGTGTTCCCTGCCGGACCTCAACCACGACCATCCACGCCCAATGTTCCCTGCCGGACCTCAACCACGACCATCCCCGCCCAGTGTTCCCTGCCGGACCTCAACCACGACCATCCGTGCCCAGTGTTCCCTGCCGGACCTCAACCGCGAGTATCCACGCCAAGTGTTCCCTGCCGGACCTCATGTAGGAAGATATGGGACAAAGAATGTGCAGAAGGAAGTTAGAAAGAATGTCAGAAGATATGCCAGATAGAATGCCAGAAGATATGTCAGAATATATGCCAGAAGATATGCCAGATAGAATGCCAGATAGAATGCCAGAAGATATGTCAAATAGAATGCCAGAAGATATGCCAGATAGAATGCATCAGATTTGCCAGATAGAATGCCAGAAGATATGCCAGAAGATATGCCAGAAGATATGTCAGATAGAATGCCAGAAGATATGCCAGATAGAATGCCAGAAGATTTGCCAGATAGAATGCCAGAAGATAGAATGCCAGAAAATATGCCAGAAGATATGCCAGATAGATATGCCAGAAGAAATGCCAGAAGATATGCCAGATAGAATGCCAGAAGATATGTCAGAATATATGCCAGAAAGATAGATAGAATGCCAGAAGATTTGCCAGAATATATGCCAGAAAGATAGATAGAATGCCAGAAGATTTGCTAGATAGAATGCCAAATAGAATGTCAGAAGATATGTCAGATAGAATGCCAGAAGATTTGCCAGTAAGAAAATGTATAAATGTCATGGTGGGGATCACACGAAGTAAAGTAATTGAGGGATAGTCTGTAACTGACTTTTTTTTGCCTAGACTGTTTGGGGCTGAATGGACTACTTTGAAGGTCTTTCAAGCAACAGCATCCCTGTAGTTGGTAGCTACTGAGTCAAAATTCCACAGATGAAAGCATTTAGTTGCAATGATAATCGGCAAGAAACCAAATAATTAGAACAATTGACTGGACCCAACTATAAAAACAATGCAGTGTTCATTTCCGTATGGAATGTTACCCATCTAGGATCTGATAGGGATGAGGAATCCATAGCATTTCTCTCAGGATCTTGGGTCCATGAAGTGCCATGAAGTGCCATCCATATGCAGAGACCATCTTTGAATCAAGGTGCCGTCGGCCGCGCTCAGCCAGGTCCTGCAACACTATAACACGGGAAGGGCACGAACAGGAAGAGCAGAAAGGAGCAGAACAGGAAGGGAAAGGAACAGAACAGGAGCTTTGCAGCCAATATCTATCAATATCTCATACGCAGTCTCACACTTTGAAGAGTACTTTCCAATTCCTCCCCGTTTGAAACTAAATTTCTAGTAGAACCAAAACTTTCCCGAATCTAATTAAACTGCATGACTCATCCTCAGAATTGTTTTGCTTATGTTGAATATTACTATTTTTTCAGTCCTGTTCTAAGCGCTTCAGGAAACTCTTCAAGCGACTCGCACGCTCCTCCTCAAGAATGTCAGTATCACTTCAAAGAGATGCACCAGTTCAGGACTCCCCTCCGACGAGCTCGTCTAAATGATCCAAATCCAAATAATAAAATGTGACGATATGTGAAAAATCCCCCAGCCGCCTTCGGAATGGAACTACCTGTGGAAAGCTTCTTGGATTCCTGAAAGACTTCTCGAGCCTGTCATCTTTGGTTCGGTTCAAGTGCACAGTGCATCACATTGACGCAGAACAAGTTGAAACAATCTGAAACGAGTTGAGCATTCAGTTCACCCTTGGATGCTTTTGGAATGGCTGATAGATGGCCTGCATCCACTCGGCCCGGGTTTTGCCTGAACAGTTCACATATTGATTTTTTGTTTGGGCTGATGTGGTGAAACAAAGGCCAAAAAACAAAGGCCAAAGAAACAAAAGAGGTATCAAAGGAATTGGCTGGCGGCAAGGGAAGCTTCAAGCACCTATAAAGTGTTGTAAAGTATTGTAAAGTTGTAACATGTCGGCTGCAGACCATGAGAGACCAATCTGTTGAGCTGTTGTGCTTGGCGCGTAAATTCTCTAAATTTCTCTACCAAGTCACTGCCCCGAGCAAAGAGACTTTCAGCTTTCCGACGGCCTTCATGGGCAGCGATATTGACAATAATCTAAACAAAACTAAACAAGAATTGAATAATTATTTCATGGCGTGTTGACAAATATTGAGAGCTTCATAAACTTTCCAAGTTGTGGATTTCCATGGATTTCCTGCCTTCATCAAGTGCCATCTGCATGAGATCTCTGCTTTTTTGGTTCCTCGAGACAACCACTGCTCCAACTGCCCAGAAGATCTCCTCCCCGACTAATCAAACAAAAGATATCAAAAGATAATAAACACTGCAGGAATCTATGCTGCGTTAATATGAATTGACTAGTCCGAACCGGGATTCTGCCTTGTCAGAGATGCTACTGGAAACAACCGTTTTATTCTTCAATATGAGGGAACCGATAGAGCTAAGAGAGGCTCCTGGCCTAACTTGCAAAAAAAGGGGGCATTCGCCCAAATATGCCCAAATCTAAACACAGACTGCTTTGGCCAGAGTGGCTTGAGAGATTTTGAGAGTATGTCTTCATCTAAAGAAAGTCAAGTTTTGCTTGGGCCAGAGATATACAGTAAATACATGTAAATATAAGATATGGCAAAGATGGTCTCCTTCCACCTCCATCTTCGATTTTAGTCGAGTGGCATGCGGAAGGCCAGCCGCTGACGCTCCAGTTGCTTTCGTTCGGCGATCCAGTAGGGCTCGCTACCCAGGGCTCGCACGAATTGAGAATAGAACCTCACACTGGCGAGAGTCGAGAGTCATGTCGAGACATGTGGAGACATGTGGAGACATGTGGAGACTGTCAGCGCAGAGATCTTAGAGCGACATCAAGAGGACTCACAATGGCAACTTTGTTTTTGTATTCTTTCGTTGCTTCTAACTTTCAACAACTCAAAACATGAATTATCATTAATTATCCTTTCCATCATCGGTTTCCAGCTCCGCCCAGTCTCTTTTGGGTTTCATACTTTATGTCCTATCAATAAAACTTGCCTGGCCCTGGCCAACCTTGACTACAACTGCAACCAGTCTCAAACCCAGTCGTCCTGGAAAACCGCCCCAAATCTGTGTGATCCAGACCATTTCGCTCCTTTTACAGGGCAAAGCTTGTAGTATCAACATTAAGTTACATGAAGGCTTCATTAAGGGTAGAAAATCATGGAACATCACGATCTTCGTGACTGGATCTTCGTGACACTACCAAGACAATCCAAGACACTGAGCACGACGTCCAGGTGAAGGTAGGGAGAGGGGAGTTTTCTGGAAGATGCACCTCAAGTTCACTTCAAAGCTACATGATAGGTATGATAGCTATTGGATAGCCTTGCCAGATCCTGAGTATATTTGACTTCATCCGGTGCATGCAGAGGACTGCCATGCTACGTCATGCACTGGATTGAAATGAATAAAAAAACATGTGTTGCAGTATTTTGCACTGAACTCTTAATCTCGCAATGTTCACTCATACTTGCAATGAAAGTTGAGAATCGGCCGGCTTGTTCGAATCATGATGTTCCACACCGACGCCGGGAATGTTATGGCGATTGTCACGAACCACCAACCTGTGAAGACAAGTGGCCGAAGAACCTCGCTAGAGCTGACCTCCTCTCCTCGATAGTCCACAGCACTTAGGCCGAATCTCTCTCCGAAACCATTGGGCAAGTGATCCTGGGCATGCAGGAAACAAACCTGCTATGATCTGCTATGCAGGTTTAGAGTGCACCAGTGCAAGGAAACAGGCCCGAAAACAAACCTATCCAGCAAGATTCAATGGTTTAAGAAGTTTAATATTGTGTCTGAATACCATCAAACATGGCATCATTTTCTTCAGTCAACTAACTGGCATTGTCCCAAAAAAGAAAGGCTGAGAAGAATTAAGAAGAACAAATGCCAAGATATGGATTCACCGCTTCGTATCCTGACAACTAAGCACTGTCAAACAATTTCCAAATGCTGACCAGAGGAAGACTCGACAAATCTTGCAGTACAAAGCACCTTTGCGCCAATCACCAGAAAACCTCCTGGTCGCAGTCTCTGCACCATGTCTGCCAAGACAGTAGAGAGCTGCGGGCTTTGCAAATAAAGACATACCTTGGCTAAAGCTAGGCTCATGTCCAATTGCAGCGAGCGTGGCCTCAAAAACAAACAAATTCAGATTCAAACGGGTCAAAACCAGCACCTGTATGAGGCCGCAATGGCTGCTGTGGCTATGGTTGATAAATGTTGATAATATGTTTCTATTGCCAATTGAATCCAATTGAACTGTGCTGCGGCATAGCGTGAAAGGATGATGTCGAAGGGACCCTCTGGCATCTCTTCTGTCACATCCTCAAAATATGAAGCGAGGCCACCAAGACAGAGTTGAAACGAGAAAAGATATCAGTGACGCTACAAAAAGCGAATCTTTTTCAATGAAACTAAGCACCAGGCCTGTTGAAGGAAGCTTACACCAGACTTCACACCTCAATCACAAGTGTATCTATGCAGCCAAAACCTTGACATGCATGCGCATGCGAGCACCTACACTGCCAAACTTGTTTTTCACCATCGGGCTGCACAATCTTTGTCTGACTGGAAAGAAAGTGTCAATAAGAGATAAAAATAGCAAAAGAACATATGCTAGTGATAGTGAATGCTAGTGATATTTAGCGATCAGGAAGATATTGAAAGATTCAGGCTGAGAGAACGGCTCTCCTTGATTTTGTACGAAGGTGGGTCCTTGCTGGAGAAATCCAATTACCAAACATCGCTGGAAAATGGCGAACCACATTCACAGCCAAAGGTGGTGCAGAGTCAGGACAAAAGAATCCATTCAAACACAGTAACACATGTGTACAAGAACAAATTATAGTATATCATAATATATAATGCTAATATTAATAAATCATAGTATATAATATTGATTTTAATAAATCATAATAAATCTATATATATATATATATGGTTATAAGATACTGATAGACTGATAGATATTGTATGATATTGTCATCAAAATAAGCAGGTTGGTGGGTGAATGCGATAAAGCATCAGGAGACGTATCATCTGTGAGTCAGTATGTGTTTATCAAAAAATAGCTCATCCTCAGGTTACAAAACCAAACAACCAACAAAATATCAAAAATAGAATGATGAATGATGGACCTCTGCACCCATGGCCCGCTCGTCCTGCTCGGCGAAAGCCTTTGCAGCCTCCAGGCGCTCGGCGGCTTTCGGGCGGCCTTCAAAGCGACAAATGCGAAAGATTGACAGCACAAAATTCAACGAACGACAAATGTTTCATTCAAAAAATATATGGAGAATCACTGAGATATATTGAGATATTCATATTCTATTCACCGGTAGTTTAAACAACTCTTTAAACCGACGCTTGGTTGCACTTGTCACAATTGTCACATGCAAATCTTGCAAGTATATTTCATCATATTTCATCGTTTCAAGGCAGGTGCTGAACCTTTGGAGATGCACTGGATCTACTGGCCAACTCGTTAGGCTAAAAATGGTACTTTGCTTCAGCGACGTCTTTTGAATAGACCTTGATATGTTCACGCTTAATTTATAACAATTTGTATGGTTTGCTTCATGTTTTGGTAATTTTGGTCTATCTAGTGAGTCAAGTTGGATCGCTTTTCTGCCCTTTTATCTGCAGGAAACTGCCGGCCTTTCGCTCGACCTGCTGGGAAGTTGGGAGCTTCCTGAGATGTGGCTGACAGCGGCCGACAGCTTCGGCAACTCTGTCACTGTTCCGTTTTCACTGTGTCAAGTCATTGCAATCTGACAAAATCAAGAATATCAAAATCTTCTGTGAATTGTGCCGAGAGGCAAAATATTCTTCCTGAGGCTCCAGGACAACCGTTCTCACACCGCGTACACACACACAAACACATAGATGATCACAAACCAGTGTGACACAAATTCAGCCACGAAATGTCGGGCTTCAAAGATTCAAACCCATATCACTGAAATGTCTGTGTTGCCTTTGTTCCTCGACAGAAAGAAGCTTGTCAGCGATAGCGTCTTTCAAAGTATCACGCAACTCCTCGAAAGTGTTTTCTCTCCTCCTATGGACAAGACAGCATTTCAAGCTTGAGGCAAGGTGCATGCCAATCCAAAGGCAGTCCCTGGCAAGCTTCAGGATGACAAACTCTTGACATGTTGCTGAGATTGCACAGTCACAAGTGAGGTGCAAACATGCAAGCAAAGGACAGATTCTACTGTGCACTTCTGAATGACACATTGCGCGACACATTGTATGATACTGTGACACTGTGACAAAGACACCATTGTTATACGACATCATAGATATGACTTGAAGCAAAACTCTGCTACCCAAACATCAAAAGATGTTCGTCGCTTGAAAATGGTGTAGGTTCTGAAGAATCGCACCGTGATGTCAACGTGGCGCCTTCAGGGAGTACCATGGATATTCGCCTTTTCGAGCGATCTCTATCTTCTCGTCACACATGTCCGTACCAAGAAGCTTCAGCCCTTCCACGGGTCATGAGCTGGAGAAACACTGGCAAGATATAATCGAGTTTTGGCACAGCACTCTATTGAATTACTAGTATGTACTAGTATACGGAGGGGTCTTAAACCAGTTTTCGATCCTTGCAGCATGAAGCTACTAACCAGATCGGCACCTGCCATGTGCGGGTCCAAATCGACACTCCAAGACAAATACACAGTTCTTCTCACTATATTATATTAGATTCTCTTGATATGTACTTTCTGATCTTAAGTGAGGGCATTTTGTTCACATTCTGTGGATGTGCCTGTTGAAGGGAAGATTGATGCCAACGCTCTTTTCCAGATCATGCCTGAAGGTAAAATTCGAGTGCAGTCTGACTCAGAGATCAAAACTTGTCAAGCCAATCTTCCAAAGCTTTCAGACAAGGAGCTCAAATAATAGACTTCCTTAGCCGTTTAGCATTTGACTCCTGATGTTTGTTGCAGCTGTACTGTACCAAAAATCTGACTGTGAAATGAGCTCCCTTACAGACCTTCTGGGCATTCCAATCCTTGCTGACACTTGACGTTGCTTTATTATTTTATGACTGTAACACCTTATAAAAGATGCACCATGATGCAAGATGCAATAAACTCAATAAACTCCAGATGAATCAATCCAAAGCACTTCACCTGATGAACAGCCACAGCTCCAACAAGAGATTTGTGTTCCTCTTCCTGCATATGCGCCGAAAGATGCCAACAGTTTTAAACTCAACTCTATAAACACACCCAAAATGCCGAAGACTCCAACACCCAAATTCATGTATTCTAGTTACTGCAATGGTCTCCAAGTTTCATTCACTGCAAAGAAAATATGAACTGTGGAATCTCGTCAGATTGTTGCAGAGTCCAAGATGCTTTGGACTGAAGGGACGGAATGTACAGAGACCCTGTTTGAGGACCTACATTACCCGCGCTCAAGGGGTTCTCAGGGGTCAATCGGAGACACTAGCTTAGCTTACCAAACACCAAGTGCCTAGAATATAACTATTTGGACAGTGCTTCAAATGTAGATGGAGAGGGCCGAAAAGGATCAAAAAGGTCACACATTGCAAAGCCAGCCTTGATCAGAGGCATGCTGGGCAGTAGCCCAGAGTACCACATCTGCTACTGCAATCCAGGCCTGACAATTGAGGAACTTTCTTAACATTCTTAACCACCGGAAGAAGTGAGGTCCATCTTTGACGGTCCTACCCTCAACAAAACTTTCTCCTAAACTTTCATTACCCTGCACTCCTCAAGACAAGCGAAAGCAACAAGCAACCAACTGCAGGAAGTTCTCTGATGATGTGCCATGACAAACTTCCAAGTTGCCGAAGCATCTCGGTTGAAGCGTGAGAACTTTTGGAAGGAGGGCCTTGCTATGTGAGGGAATCTGATCGAACCTGTGTAGAATTTGTAGTTTTGTCACATTTGTCACATTTGTCAATCCGTTCAAAGATTTCAAAGCGCTCTTGTGCTGCTTCGCGACGATCTGACGAGCGTAGGCTCTCTGGTTGGCGAAGTCTCCATGCCATGAGCTAACGGAGCTGTGACGGAGCTGTGACGGAGCTGTGACGGAGCTAAGATGATCAAAGATCTCTTGGCAGTGATCTGTAGTGCGGGCAGTGCGGGCAGTGCAGGCAGTGCAGGCAGTGCCTGTCGAGATTTGTAATTGGCTTCGTTCACCTTTCCGTCTTCAGATTCTTTGAAAACTACGAAGATCCGGATGTCTGTGATTGGAGAAGTACTATATGCATATGCCAACAAACCTGTCATTTTGGCTCGCAGGACATTGCCACAAGCCATTTAACTCACTTGATCCGAAATAGACAGCAGTCGTCATGATTACTCAGGCAGCATTCCCTCCTGTCGCCCACCACTCTCTGAAGAAGTACCAAATTGATCAAATTGACAGACTGGCCAAATCAAATTGATGGAAACCCTCTGATTTTGCATTTCTCGTTGCTGCGTCATGTGCGTCGAATGGACAAGCAACATCAAACAACAACTTTTCAGCTCGCAAGGTCACACGGACAGACTTTGTGGCACAATGTTTCATCAAGCAGAAGCGTGCAGCTGCTCAGGAGATATTCGATATCCAGCATTCTCAACCTAAGAATGGAAACGCAGACTTCACATCCGTCAGCCAATGGAAGATCCAATAGACATCAATTCACAACAATAGAATGCATTGAATGCATTGAATGCATGAAGGTTCAACCTTGGATCCTCGTGGAGAGCTACAATGGTGTAGCAATGGTGTAGCATATGTGTAGCATGATGCAGCACATAGAATGGTGTACCATGGTGTAACAAAGCGTAGCATGGTGTAGCCAGCAATTTGATGCACTGTGAGCATTTGTCAACATGCTCACTACAGTAGGACCAAAGGCTTCAAGTGGCACGACATAGTTTCGACAAGCCACAGATTTTCTGTTTTCATCCTGGGATGGAGAATGAGAGCGCATGCGAGCGTTTGAGCGTAGCTTTTAGTTTCCACCCTCCTTTGAAGATCAATGACCACCAATGACCTTCAAAAGCAAAATGCTGCTAAAAGATTCGATCTGATTCAACCAAAGTGTCCTTGCGCAGTGGCTTGCGCATATCATAAGCATCCTCATCACCAGAATAATAGCCCGTCACGGTACCTTAGAATCAAAATGTTCGAAATTCCAAGATCGATTTCGGTATTTCAGTCACAAAATCCGTCCTGGAAAAAGAGTTCATCCAAGGCGTTTGCTTATGTGTGCTTTTCATTCTGTTGATTCCACTTCTTTAGGTGTCAAAGATGTGTCGAAGGTTGGGACACGATGAGAAAATGTAGAAGTGTAGAGATATAGAGTGATTAGAGTGTAGATGAGTGTAGACGAGCAGCGATAAATGACATAGCCCAAGCCTTCGTAAAATCTGATCGCTGCTGTGTTCGTTGGACGGACAAACAGGTCCACAAAATAGCAGTCGTGCATCTCTTCGCTGACCTCCACGGCCAGAAATGGCAGCATCCAGCAGCACAATAGCACTGGTCACCAGGTCCAAGATCAAGAAGCTTTACGAACTTTCCAATCTTAAGTAACTTAAGTAACCTAAGTAACCTAAGTAACTTAAGTAACTTAAGGTATAAGTATGAAATGAAAAGTACTGAAAGTGTCAATCAGCCGATTTTCTATTCCAGGAGGTCTCTCCTAAGTCCGATCAAAGGGAGATTGTGTCAGGTTGCGTCTAGGAACATGCTGTCCATTTGCGTGTCACCCGATGTCACCTGTGTCTTTGTGTGTCTCTGTTTCCGTTGATCCGTCCTCTTCCAGATATTCCATGAGCCGGTTGGCCACACCGGTGCGACGGAACTCCGGAGCAACCGAGATGGCGGAGACATGTCCGTGCCAACTGAGTAGCGCCAGGGAAAGACGCTGCAAAGGGATGCGAAAACAAACGTCATGAGTGAAAAGCAGGAAAGGGCCAAATGTCCGAAATGATACATAATGAATCATGAATCATAATGATATATATATAATATATGTTATATATATATACATATGCAAAACATATTGCTTCACAGAATGGATAGCAAGAAGTCTGAAATCAAAGCACGCGTGACGGCGTGACGCTGTCGCAAGAGTGCATGAAGAGATATGAAGATGCAACATCCCAATGTTTCAACAAATGTAAAGGGCAATGCTTCGGAAGAAGAGTATATAGACATATCATATGTGTATATATATATATATACGTATATATAGACATCGTGACGCTCTTCGTAAACGCTTCACTGACACCAAGCTGCTTTGGACCAGCTCCTTCTACTTTTCCAATGATGTATCCCGCTATGTGACCATCTGCTTCTGCCACCTCTGCACAAACATCAGCAACCAGGCCTGCACTTGCTTCCACAGATTGGCACCTTGTTTTAACTTGTTTTGCACTGACTTGCGACGAGCTACAGCACAGCATTCTGGCCACCGAGTCAGGTAGTTGAAGTAGAAATTCATATTGAAGGTCTCGGTGAAGACATCCAAGTTTACTGCCTCAAATTCCACAAGATGCTCGACTTGATTGACAAAAACATGCAGCTGGAACATCTAAAATGCAGATTTCACTCTTGAACTTCTCCGTGCTGGCCACAAAAAGGCTTGAACCCGCACAGACCTGTACAAACTTAACCTCTTAACTTGCACCGTAGGGTTCCTGGTTGCCAGGGTATTATTGATTCGTTTCAAGACTTGATTGCATGTACTTCGCTCTGTGATCTGTTCAAAATTGACCATTTTGATACCATTTTGCACCAGTGTTTGTTGCTGAAATTGCTGAGCTGCGTTGAAGTGCAGTAGGTCATCGAGCATCATCGGCCGAATACTCGCCATAACGGCTTTTGAAAATCCCGATTGACGACGCAAATTGTTTAAGCAAGTCTCGCAGACGTGTGGATCATAGGCATCATAGGCATGTATGGATCCGGTTTGGAAAGTAGGGCGGCTAGAACAAATTGACAGTAGCTTTTGAGCTGAAGTACCTATATAGGCTAGGCCTTAACTGCACATACTTGCACCATGAAATTCCGATGCATCAAATGCCTCTGTAGAAAAAAAGGTATGGATCTTGAAACATCAGCTGAATCATCTTGTCTTTTGAGGAAGCCCTGGTAATGGTACTGTTCTGTTCAAGTGGCACAGTCCTTGATGTTGGTTGGGCGTGCGTAAAGCGTATGTTGCAAGATCATGCTATAGACTGGTTATAGATCTATTTAGTGTCTTATCATATAATTAGATTGACTTATTAGTCTATATATAGTCATATACAAGTCATATATAGTCTATATCAGTCTTAGTATATGCAGTACTATACAGATCTATACAGTACATTTGTCCAAGCCTTTGCAAATCCTCCAAGCCTTGAGAGCAACAGGGCGAACAATCTTATGAGCTACCGGGGGCTAAGGTTATGGGACAAGCCAAAACGATCAAAACGGATACAGATGGATACAGTAACATACAGTTTAACAACATGTACAAGTTCATACAAGTTCAATGTACAAGTACCAACCAAGACTCGCATACCTCAGGATATTTTCAGGATATTATGCCGCTATGCCCTTCCTGCATATTCCTGGTAAACAAATTTGGCCAGTCTCTGCTGCAGTCTACCATCAGCTCACGCGGACCACAGGTGCGACCATTTTGAAACTGCCCCGACTTTGAGGTCCGTACTTGCCCGTATCAAATGGAGCAACAGGGAGTTTCATGGAGTTTCGGAAATTGCTGCACCATGCTGCAAATCTGCCCGGCATGTCCACTCAGCCGTTGTGATTCCTTCGTTCCCTCAACCATCTCGACATATCTCGACCTTTCAACTATTGGTCCACCTTGGCATGGGATGCATCGGACTTGTTCGTGTTGACAACCTCCTGGAGAGCGTCTTTCGTCGTTCACTGTGATGCGCATTGCTTGCAACTTGGCACTCGAATGCGATGATCAATCCTGATCATCCTCAGAACTTCGATGACCATCACAACTCTCAATCATTGACAATCTGCAGTCTTCGGAGAATATTAACGCTCGTCATGGCGGTCGTCCAAGGTCTGGTGGTATGGGCAAATTCACTGCTTGTGGCTCCTTAGCCATCCTGGGAAGGTATGCAGAGATGGAGCCATAGGCAGTTGGAGCTTAGATGGGCAGCTCAGCAAAAGCTTCCAAGGCAAGCCTCGTCAAAATCTGGACACTCAGATTTGAAACTTATACCGTATACATCTGTATAGACACACATTATATTCTAGGAGAAAAAAACTACATACGGTAACAGCCTAATAGTACTGTTCACGCGGAGTGATGATATGTGATAAGATTTGATTGATGATGCAATCAGAAGAAACACATTCAACCAAGGAGCAGCTCCGCATGGATGTCCAAAGACTGTATCTGGACTGCACCGCCAGAGCGGTGAAAACTCGCAGCATTGGACGAATTCAGGGTGGCCATGGCCAAAATATCAACCAACAAAGGAGCAGGGCACTGGACGGCAGGGAGATGTGCCTCTCCTCTCCCTGAGCCTTGCGGTAAATAGAAGTTGCCCGGGCTGCATGGAACCCCACTCGTTTTGATGTTGCTTCACAGGCGCTATTTCTGCCGTGGGCCCCTTGA